CTTTGATGGAATCTTCCCTATAGTTCACAGGACCTTTCTATTGAGTTATTTTAGAGGCTGCTGGCTCTTGGATTTTTCTTGTGCTCAAAGTATGTGGACATATAATGAAGCGGCTATCGAGTTGGCGGCGGCCGTTTTTTGTAAACGATTACAAGAGCATCAGGCCATGAGTTTCGTGACGAAACTAAACTCCTGGCGAAGGAAACATTCTAAAATTCGGCTAGATTCCTTCTTGTATTTATCTCGATTCACGGCAAAGATAAACACGACCGTTTGCTCGTCCAGATTGTTCTCAACGGACTTAGAGAGGCACCTTAGTACGAGTTAGATCCTGTAAATGCCATGTTTTTGAACTGTTTGTGTTCGAGCATAATTTTGGAAAATAGCAGAGTTTACTTTCCCTTTTTATCAACGGACTGCTTATAGTGGAGTAGTATACCAATGATGCTGGGTTCTGTTTTTCTCGACGTCGCAGTGATTTGGCACGATCGAACAATTTTGCGCGATAATGTATGTTTCCCTAAGATCAAAACAAAGACTTGTCTCTTGTTCTATCAGCATCTAAATTATAAAATCAGTAGCGACAGACAAGTCTAATTGTTAATGATTTGAAACAGTCTTGGTCTTTATCTTCGGTCTAGCGTCTTTTGTAGCTCGTTTGTAAAATACAACTTCCATTTATTTTGTTGAATAAGACAATATGTTGTTGTTGAATTTTTGTTTGCGCTCTATTTTATGAATCGCATTCGTTTTTACTTCAAAACTACAAGTAAAATTGTCGTCACAATTTTATTCTTGATCTAGCATAACCAGAGAAGAAACGTTCCATAAATTCTATCGAAATATCCCTTATCCAAACCCATTTCGCTTGTTAACCTCTCTAAATTCGGAACCTTAGACGTGACAGAGAACATGAAGAAAGTCACGCGTTAAAAACAATAGAATTTTGACAGTTGAAAGTAATTTGCATAACCTCAGAGCGCACATGGAGAAAGTCACGCGTTAAAAACAATAGAATTTTGACAGTTGAAAGTAATTTGCATAACCTCAGAGCGCATGCTCTCCAGCTGACATAGCCCCTTATACTAAAGAACTACAGGACAGAAGCTGTATTTATATAGAAATAACAGGGGCACCCAACGACAATTTTCGGAAAATATCTGTTCGGAAGACGATTGAGATCTAGAATTTTCGGAACAGTTGTAGCAAAATGTCTTGCTTGCCTGCCTCTCCTAGGATTTTCGAACATCTAAAAAATGGTCTAATTGCCCATTTTTTAACGGATTTTTACCCTAAAGGTCACCTAGAATTTTCGGGAGCCTTTTTTCTGGCTGGAATTTTCGAGATGGTAAGGTTTGATCCCTATAATTTTCGGATCACTACATCCGAACAGATGAAAAATTTTTAGGGGATAAAAATATGCCTATATCTATCGTTTAAATACTAAAATACGTTTAACAATGTTATGTTAAAGTGGTTTTGAACTATGCTCTCGTTGGGTGCCCCTGAAATAAGTCATGATTATGAATCAGTGGTGTAGACAACTGCAAAAGTACTATCCCAAATGACTGTCTAGGACTAAAGCCCTTTTGAAATTACAGTGCGTGCAAATATTCTAGTAAACTCGCGAAGGAAAAACAAAAGTAATAAAAACAAAACAAAACAAAAACAGCTCAATATGTTTCTCGATCGTAAGTAATGTTGTCAGGCATGAAATATTGTCACGGTTTGGACAGGGTGGTTTCTGTACTTATTCTAATTCTTATAAGCCCTGCACATGATTCAGGCCTTCCTGTAAAATTTTCTTAATCGATTTTTCCGACAATGACAGTTATGCCGATAAGAATGAGAACGTTAAAAACTAAAAAAAGAACTTGATCAATGTGCACGCAGTCATTTCCTCACGCTTACTCAATTACGCATATATATGAGCACTGCGGATTAGGTGTATTACTGGTTTTCAGGGCAGAACACCAATAAAATAATCTATCACTAACGAACATCTCCGCGCCAGTCCTCGTGGGTGACACCCCTAAGGATTTATAAAAATCCCCAAATTTAAATAACAACTATTTTCGTTTCCTTCAAGTATTTCCTTATTTGTGAATGATGAGAGGAAACTGCTCCCAGTATTAATAAACTCACCATGACAACAGGCATCGTTCGGATTGCTTGTAAAATTTTCTGAACAGATAAGTAACATATGTAAGATAGCCAGCCAACAATTGCAAGTATAAGGTTGAGGAATTTGATCCCAGGGCTATTTAATGTGATAATAATTCATCTTAATTTTTGGACACTCCTGGGAAGGGTTAAACTGTACCAACTTTGTAGCGTAGAAGCTTGCAAGACACAGCAATATTAATGTTTGAAGAAAGGAGGGGCTTATGCCCGGATTATATAATTAGATTATTTTCCGCTAATACAACACTGATTCTTAATACAATTTTAAGAATTAAGAAATTGGTGATTCCTAGGGTTAGTACCACTGGCTATGGGAAACATTCAGTTACATAATTAGGACCATTACTCTGGTCCAAATTAGATCGGCTAAGGTAAGGAAACAGCAATCTTTAGATACTTTTAAGAATTCAGTAAGGAAATAAAACCTATAGCTACGTTTATTTCTGCGAATGACAGCGTAGAATTTCGTTTTGTATTCAGGTGTGTTTCCTTATTTCATTTTTTTTAGGTTTTATACATAGGGTTTTTACTTTATCTGATCTCTATTTGTGTTTTTAAGTTTTTGTTTTAGTTAGTTCTTTGAAAATAACAGTGTCCTTACTTAGTGGATAACCAACTGAATATATTTATTTCAGATACAGAGATAAAGATATTATTCCTGTAAATGCAGCAGCGAATGACGCTTATAATAATAATATTTTCCTGATTTCTTTAAACTTTCTTTTTTAAGGTTGCTGGAGAAAAAACTGTCGTAGGAGGTAAGAAGATGAGGACTATGTTTAAGAAAAGAAATAAATTATGAAACGTTTACTGCAAGTCATCAGCGGTTGGAGATTTAAATATGTCAATAACGGTCAGGGAATTAATGCCCTACGTGATATAGCAAAAGTTGATTGCATTTTTATTGCCCTGCGGAAACATTAATTAAGCAACAAAATCTATCCAGGCATTAAGTTCCAAATTCAGAAGCCTTAGCCACACCTACGTAAATGAGCCCATGATTTTGGACACCGGATCATGAATCTGAACAGGGCTAAATAGCAGTTTAACCTGATCGTGATTACAGTTTTCCCATAACTTACGTTAGTTAGGCATAAGACAAAAGACGGCCTTTTACAATTTCTACTGTCATCAGTTCAGTTGTAAATTCGTTTTCTCCAAAATATACAACTTACTTACTTTAGCTCATACTAGAGGTGTCATAGGAAGCTTTCGATCAGCCACTTGTCTAGAGGCTGTGACGAGGAGGATTTTGTGTGCCTTCCGGCTCAAGATTCAGGTCATTGTTATACTCTATGGCCTCTTTGCTAAGTTTGCGTAAGGCAAAGATGGCATCCGTACACCCTCCGCCCTTTCGGAATCCCATCTGTGCATTGCTCAACCAGGACCGAATGAACTTGATTGAAAAACTCCACATCTGGCCCCGGATTCCTCTTGCTTGTGGAATTCGGTATCCTAGGGATTGAAATCTTGAATGCAGCTCAATGAAGCCGGAAACCCACTAACGATTGGAATCCGGAATCCAATACCTGGAATCCGGAAACCACCGCGTGAAAACTAGAATCCAGCACTGTCTTGGATTTTCATATATAGGGCAAATGACTATTTGAAAATACAATTTAAAAACCTACCTTAGACCCAGCGTGTGTTAATGATCTGACAGCCGTCGTTGTCTTTTCAGTGATGTCGGTGGAGTCCCCTGGAGTACTGGACACGTGCTTTGCTCAACTTCCTTTATACCAGGTCCTTGGAGATCAGATCCATACACGGTTCACTCCCCTGAGGTCGTATGAAGGATTCGCCACAGATCTCAGCGAGAGAGCTGGCAGCGATACAAAGTTTGAGGAAGAAAAAGAAAAAAAGGAATTGAAGCAGGGCCTCTTCTATATTGTCACCTCTAGCGTAGAGTTTGATCCAGGTACTATATGTGCTAGTCCCAGGGGGCTTGCATCAGGGTCCACCGCGCGGTCAATCGTCTGAGGCGTCTTTTCCTTGATTATTCACTGGAATTTCATGAACCATAAAAAGTAAAAACATGGCCATGGATGTATAAAATAATTAGTCAATGGAACCATCTTTTCATTTTTCTCAAAAGTATCAGCTTCAGTTTCGCTGAAAACGCTTCGCAGCTGAGTAAAACAATGGTGCCGACAATAATACCAGTTTCCAAACTTTTTTTAGCAATCTGTCAAAACTTAAGTAAATTAACAGGGTATTGGTAATGTATCAAAATTGAAATATTGGAAGTAACAAACTTTGACACACTTTGCTCGTTTGACGCCTTGACGATACCATTCTAAGGGTGGATCTAGGTGCGTAAATAAATTAGAGACAATAGAGAGATTTAGAGTGACGTTTATGGCAAAGGGCAATGGCAGATTCAAGTTGAGAATGTCTTAAAATAAAAAACGTGCAGCTAAAAACAATCCAAAAGAATTGTTATAGACAAACCTAACGTAAAGCTAATAATTTGGGGGTAGAAGTGATAAACAGTTAAGCACAAGCTAAGGGACAACTTGGTCACGTGGTACAAATTGCCGTAAACGTGACTCTAAATATCTCTAATGTACGAAAGGTCGTGCGTGCTCGTGAAGTGTCCGTAAAAGTAAAAGTTGAGCGAGGTTCAACTTTTAAATTACGCGACAGTGAAAATCCACCCTCTCAGGCCAGGGATGCTGGTTTTTAAGCTAGCCATTGGCCATGTAGCCTCCCACGCAGGCCATGAGACTGGCTCAGTGTTGTGTCGCATTGCACTATGGGACTGTTTTAGGGACGCTATCACTTCTTTTATTATTGGATAATGCGAGATTACGCAGCAAAGTACTGTAGCACCGCAGTAACTCGAACTCTGAAGGGAAACGGAAACTGTTCGAGTTAGCGGGGATTCGAATTATCCGAGCTCGTGTCATCGGGGTTCTACTGTAGGTCAAATTCTGCCCCCCGTAGTAAAATAAGAAATTATTCCCCTCGACACAACATCAATGTAGTTTCAAGGGCAGCTCATTGTGGCCTATCGATTAGTTACAATTTAGACCATTTCTCACCTGCCACTTGACGTTTGAGCCCAATATCTCAGTTTTCAGTCTTCTCTGCAAGACATTAAGAATCAGTTAACAAAAAAAAAAAAAAAAAATAGAAGCAGTAACACTGTTTTTTTCTAACGTAACAGCCCTGATGACGCAACAGGATTTTCTCAAAGCCTGGGCCGAAGAGGCCAAAGCAGCCGTGGGAGCGAAAAAATTGGGAACCTTGCTAGACTTATGGAAAGTGGTCGCGGAAAAAAAGGTAGCAATTTGTAGTAACTGCATGAGCCCATAATCAGAAGTGAGCAACTCCCATAATAACGCTAGATGTCACGTAGTTTTCTCGGACCAGTTTATTTTTAGATACATTTTAGATGTTTAGAGCTCTTTTCCCCCGAAAATGGAAGCTCCGCTCGATCTATGAGTGCACAGCACAGCATTTAACTCAGAATCTTAAATCTGATATATTCCTTAGGTGGGTTTGTCATCTTGGGGCTACCGAAGTCGCGCAAATGAGTTTTGTCAACGCTGGTAGGCCAAGCGCGGCCCTTTCTTCTCTTATTCGGAGCTTATTCAAATTAAGCACACGTTCATTTGAATTTGCCGCTTCGGCGGTCATGAACTCAACTAATTAATGGTGTCCACTCATTCTTTGCTATGACGGCTCGATGTTAGGAATAAAAGGAACAAAACTCACTTTCCTTGTTAGCGGTTGCGTACGGGTGGTCACACCTATAAATAGTAATATAATTTGACTGGGAAAATCTCACTTACCAGAGGTGGTCGCACATAGAAGTTCCACTGTAGTATGAGAACTGATAGAGGCTCCATATAGCGATTCTACTGGTGGGGACTTTCTTACGCACATTCTTAATTGCAGGAATTTTAATTTTTTTCCAGTGTCGTATTTGTTTTAAATTTGTAACGTTCCACTTTTGTATTATGCCAACAGGTCATATCACTTTTTTGTGTCCAGGATCCAGCAGAGCTCGATAGAATGTCTTTAGACCTGCCGATCGCAAAAAAGACGGGAATCATAGTCCGTCAGGAGTGCAAATCAATAAGGCCGATAGGGGAATGGGCCGAGGACCTTAAAAAGCTTGCGGAGTAGACAATGAATACGTGATAATAGTTGCTTGGAGATATATTAACTTCTGATTTAAGCTTAATAGAAAGTGACGCTCGTACACCAACCCACGGCCTAGCCAGTACCTAGCGCATGCACACAGCTATAACACCAGGGCATGCAGTGACAGTTATGGACAGCTGTTTCTCCCTTATTGGCTTTGTCCGTTCATAGGCCTGACGGCTATACCATGCTGTCCATGGCTGCCACTGTCCGGCTGATATGGCAATGCGCATGCGTTATTAGGCAGCCTGTGATGCGCTCCTGTCCTGGGTCGGCTCCAACCTTGTTCCCATGGTTCTCTCCTACCCGTCCTAAGGAAAGAACCCTGGGAACAAGGTTGGGTCGGCTCCTGGTACTGTCCAGGCCGTGGGTTGGTGTAAGTGTGTCACTGTCAATTAAGTTTGTCTTAAGAAGTGCAACTATGACGAAAATGCGGTTGACATCTGTGAGTGTTTATCAAAACTAGAATCATCTATGTTTTCTCTCTTTGAATTATTGACTCAGAATGCCATGGCAATTGGGAATGCTTTGGCAGGAAATAGAAGAACCCTTGTTATTTTTAGTTTTAATCATGTTATTTCCGGTGACTCTATATTTTGGGTCTTGGTTTTCGAAACGAAAATTGTCACCGACTTGATTGCGAACACGACATTTGCTTAGTTAAATTACTCACAAATTTGTTATAGCATGGGTAACCGGTAGGCTCTGTTCTATTACAACAGTATGAATCCTGAAAAATTACAGGGTGTTTGTATGGGGTAAAGTTCCGATCTTAAAATTTATAGGAAATACCAAATAAAAGTCACTGAAACTTTACTCAGCAGTTAGTTGCCATGTTGCCATGTTGTTGTACTTACATGAACTGTCGTGAAACATGGTTAAAATTTTCGTACGTTTACTGGAATGCTCCGTGATCACAGTTCCCACTGAAAGTGCGGCCCGCATGGCAGATTTCAGAACTGATAACTTTAATTCATGTTTTCCGGGCGAAACACCTATTTACTGGTCTGACTGGTGAAGAGATTTAATGGTGAAAGCTACATATTGACCACTGATGAAAACTTTTATTTGCCGCGCCTGTCTTTGTATTGACTAACAAAATTTTTTTTAGATTGCCAAGTTAGGCAAGGATGCCGGCGTAAAAAAATAGCTAAAATAGAGATTTCGGGTAAAATTGAGAACGAAACGGTCGGCCCGATCACTTTGAAGTGCTCCCGATTTGGTGGATATTGTGCTTGATATTATATAGATTCTTGTTATTTGATTGACTTTATTTACATTCATTTGCAAAGAGTGCATTTTTGCGTTAGCGCAATAACGACCGTGTCAATCGGGGTTGTCAAGGACACATTTGAATCCAAAATGCAAATTATAGCGGCTTGTATACCTTTTTTTGAAGTTATTCATCGAACGTTGGCATTTACCATTCGATGAAACAGTGAGTTTTAAAAGGGCGTATTCAAACAAACTTACTGGAACTTTTTTTTCTAAGGGATCATTCGCTGTTGTTACGTCTCAAAATGAGTTTACTCTACTTGATCAAGCTCACCGTTGAATATAAAGGAATACCTCAGAAACAGTTTATTCATACCTGGTTAAAACAAGCAAAGGAGTCTTTGAAAGCTAAAGAAGATGGCAGAATACTACAACTTTGGAAGGTAACTGAAACTGTCCAGTAGATTTCTCTCAATTGTTTCTAACCTTTCTTCAGGCCTAGAATATTAATCAATCTATTGATAGATCAAAAGAAATAAATCATTTTGTTGCCTAGATTCTTTTTAAACATGTACAGCAAAACAAGTGGTATTTCATAAAATATTGATTTACGAAAGTACCATCGAGAAGGTTGACTGCTGTGGACGTGTTGAAAAAGATTATCTCTAGACCGTGACATCGGTGGCAAAAAGGTCATACGTACAAGTAGCTAGGACGAAGAGCTTGAAACCTGTCTGACGAAAACGCTTGCCACAGGGCAGTCAATTAACTAGGCGCTACCTATTAAGCGGTCACCCTCTATCGAGAGGTAAAATATCGTTAAAACGCTTCCCAAGATGGTCAAAAGAGCCGGTAAGATACCACGACGGCAGCGATAGCGAAGACGTTAAGTGAGTTCGCGTTTCTTTCTCTAACTTTGTTGCCAATCCAGCTTATTAGAGATCTTTCCCATGACCCTAGCCTGCGTAACAGGCTCTTGAAAGTAGTGGGCGCAAGAAAGAACGGGAGCGCGACTCTCGTGCGTCCATTCTTTCTGGCGTCCACTACTTCCAAGCGCCTGCTACGCAGGCTATCATAACTCCAACTAGGAACATCTATGGAGCAAAAGTCCACTATGTAAAATACGCGGTTTGTTTTCCCATAGGTAACTTTGCCTTATTCATTTGGGGCGCGCACGTGAGAAACCAAACAAAACACGAATTGTTTGACAGAAAGTGTTAATTTTTATTGTGACTCATTAGCATATGGTGTTGGAGTTATGTGAAAGATCTCTATTATCGATCTATTAAGCTCAATTTGTCAAATGTAAGCGAATTTATCTGCAGATTATTTCTTAAATAATAATAAAAAATAATAATTCTTTAGAAACTTGTCAAGAAAATCCTTCGGAGCGTGTTAAGCGTCCTCCATAAAAATGCCGTAGTAAGTCTCGTCGTTTCATATGACTGATCGCCGGACTTCTGTGCTCATACTACCTAGAACTGAACTTGGAAACACGAGGGACTATCCCAAAGATTGGAGCATCGCAATTGCAATCGCTTCCAGTCAGAATTCTCCAGATGGACTCTGTCACCCTCTGTTACCGTTAATCTGTTTTTGTACACTACTTTTTCGCTAACGGAGTGGACTTTATTAGTACCATTGAAGACAGCTTTCAACATTAGCAGCTTGTTAGTTGTTTTATCTTGGCACCTGTTAGAGGTTAATTGCGAATTTGAGTTAGAGGTTAATTGCTAATTTGATCTAAGCCCATAAAACGTGATTCACCCCTTTTGGGGTTGTTTTAAAAGTTTCACAAGCATCTACGTCGTTCTTTTTTAGAAAATTACTCAGCCCTGGACAAGAATCGTTCCAAGTCCAAAATTTTGAACCGTTACATGGGGGTGAGCTTGGTCAGAAAGCTGCGCCTTAAAGAGTAACTTTATTGATCCTTATTGTTGTATAACATTCTACTTTAGGTTGTTGGGGAACGCAAGGTACTTTATGGTGAGTTCTCTAAATTAACTTGACGTAAATTTTTGTCTTTAGATAAAATTCCTGTTGTAGTCAGGGGCTAGTCACAAAGCAGGACGTGAAAATTTGACGCTGATCAATACACAATAACTAAAATCAAGTGTTTTCTCCCCAACTAAGTCCTTATGGAAGAAAACGCTCCATTTCGAGCGGCGGGCAAGCGAAACAATATTTGAGGTAACTCGAATACGAGTGATAAAATCGTTTCCTTTCACGTGCCACACGTGCGTAACTTAAGTGTTGTTACTGCCGCGTGTAAAGACCATCTCCACCGAAGGGCCATAATCTGAAGGATGTTCCAAGTAACATGGAATGAACCTAATGTAATACTGATTCTTTGCAGTAACTGAAACAAAGGAAATAAAAACGCTGTTAACATCCTTTTCACAATAGGACAACATCGTTATTGTGAAAATGAAACTGGTTTTGCTTGTAGCCTACGAGCAAGCTCTCCTATTTAGACGAGTGAAACGAGTCTCGCGAGAACGCGCGAGCGAGCGGCGAAGCCGCGAGGGGCAGAGGAAAGGATAGGCTCCCACGCAGGCGTTTTTAGGGGAGCTCGTATTTCGTCCCTCCGCACAACTCTCCTAAAATCGCCTGCGTTCTCGGGAGGCACGCTTCGCTTGCCCAAACAGGAGAGCTTGCTCGCAGGCTATGCGGCTTGGAAAGGAAAGATTTTGGTTTTATGGGCGCCACTCAATTTAGAAGTATCAATTCCAAAACAGCAAACAATGCACACTGCCACTGATGCTGTTCAGTATAGTGGTGATAAAGACGATTCAGTCGAGTCAAGAATAGTTTCCATCATTGTTTTTGGCTCAATAATCCACTTATGTCCAGAAATGCATGCAATGGCGAAAATGGCGAAACTGGCGAAAAATCGCCAGCTGCTGGCGATTTGAATTGGATGCCAAAAGTGGCCCCTTGGAGGCTGGCGATTTTGGCGAAAATGGCGATTTTGGTGAAATTGGCGATTTTGGCAAAATCGCCATGCATGCAATGGCGAAACTGGCGAAAAATCACCAGCCTGTGGCGATTTGAATTGGATGCCAAAAGTGGCCCCTTGGAGGCTGGCGATTTTGGCGAAATTGGCGATTTTGGCAAAAATCGCCAGAGGGCTGGCGATATGTGGCAAAATATTCAAATTGGATGCCAAAAGTGGCCCCTTCAAAGTGGATAACTAAAGAGATCCTTATAACTGTGAGGCAACAGTACTAAAAAAAAGTTAAAATTACTTGCCAAATAAGAGGCCCCAATAACTGTGAGGCAACATTTATCAAATACAACTGAATCAAATATATGACAAAACAGCTTTACCTAACTGTCAAACAACATTATTTTATTAAATACAAGTGAATCAAATATATCTGAAAACAACAAATGGAAGTCGTTTCAGTTAAGCTAATATGTATTTGTGCCATGTACTTCACAGGTTAAGTAAACATTTCCTTACTTTCGATGTCGCTTGACTTACCAAAAGTGATGTGATGCGCTGAAATATCACACTAGCATCATTTGCTTTTGTATGGTTCATTCATTTCCAAGACTCACAAGTCCACTAATTACTCGAGGAGAGAACTACCAAGTCCTTGAAATCATAATAATTCCTTGCCATGGACACTCTAACTTTTGAGGTTCGATGTAGACCTTAACAATCTTAACTGGTTACAATTCTCTTCACATTGGTTCCATTAAATTGTGAGGCAGCCTTAAATCAAAAGCGATTGCGAAACGCATGGTTCCTGGCTAAAAGATGCTTTCACGATAACCATTGTGCGCCCTTCATTCTTTTTTTGGTTCTCCACTATACACATTATCTTCTTCCGTCGTTTTAAACTCTTCACTTTCTTCTCGCACTTACTTGTTTTGCTCTTTAGAGAAATGGTCCCCTAAAAGTAACGAAAGCCGAAATGTCCAGCAGCTTGCATGCGCCATTTTGAAATGTGTGAATTCGCTTATTTCCACTTTATGTAAACCTGCACGAAATGTCACTTGTGCCCCATATTTCACCGCATTTATTGAACATACACATTGGATCAAAGTAATAACTTGTTTGTCTCTTTCATAAAACATATCCCATTCAAACTAATTCTGTATCTTTTCATCAACCTAGATATATAAAAAGAGAGTGTACATGTTTGTCTCGTTCTTAAAAAATGTGTCCCATTATTGCTTTATGAGGTGGGGCCAGAAATTTAGAAAATGTATTGTTTTTTTGCGCTGAGACCACCAAACCAATTCTCAGTACAATATGTTTTCCATTAAATTGCTAATGCTAATGCTCGTCGAAACACGTCACCCGGCCTTTTTACCTTCTATTTTAACAATTGCCTGAGAGTCCCTGTGAACGACATTAATCGTTTTGCTTACATAGAGCGACCACCAAATTCGGCTGGGAATGACACTAATCGTTTCCACTTACATAAAGTAGTTATCCAAAATCGACTATTTCAACATGGCCGCCGCGTCTATATAACAACTACTAAACCTTACACGTTCATGTTCTGTGAAACTGCAATGAACCAGCTCGTTTATATATACTTGTACGATTGAACGCCATTATAACAAACAGGATGGATATACAAGGCAATACGGACCATCTAATTATCTGAATGCGTAGCCAAGAATCAACCTGGATTCCTCATAACATATAATGTTGAACTGTCGCTATTCAAACAATGCCTACAAGCCTGGAAAATTAAGGATACCTATCTTGGAGTTTTTGGTAAGAAAGTTGCCATGAACATTACGAAGATTACCATTTACTGATAATCGAATACAACTCGTTGGCCATTCGATTTGAATTGAGCAAGAAATTAGTTACAAGTGGTAATTCCCGACCAAACACTCTTGTCTGGGACGAATTTCAAATCACAAGAGGTTATCAATTAAAGGTAAAAGCATTAAAAACAGATTAATGACACTTACGTTACAGTAGCGTTGTCATTATTAGTATACAATTATACTATTGGAAACATTTTTATATTAATATGTTGTTAACTATTTGGCAATTAATAGCCATTTCAAAAGGGACCCTTTGCTATGTCATTTCAATTTGTCTTGATAAATTAGGTATTTCATCGAGTAATTGCCATTTCTGCCAAAACACGTTTTAAGAACGAGGCCAACAGGCACTCTAATTTTTTTTTTCATTTGTGGCTGATGAAAAGATACAAGATTAGTGCACGCCATTTTCGCCAAAATCGTCACTTTCCAAAGGACCCCTTTGGCATCTCATTTGCATTTTTGTTTATAATTTGGCGATTTCGGCGATTAATCGCCATTTTCGCCAAATACGCCATTTTCGCCAATATCGCCACTTTCCAAAGGGCCCCTTTGCCATCGTGTTTGAATTTTTGTTTACAGTTTAGCGTATTTGGCGATTAATTGCCATTTCTGGCATCTTCGCCGAAATCGCCACTTTCCAAAGGGCCCCTTTCCCATCTCATTTGAATTTTTGTTGACAGTTTGGCGATTAATTGCCATTTCTGCCATTTTCGCCAAATACGCCATTTTCGCCATAATCGTCACTTTCCAAAGGGCCCCTTTGCCATCTCATTTGAATTTTTGTTTATTATATAGTTTGGCGATTTTGGCGATTAATTGCCATTTCTGCCATTTTCGCCAAATACGCCATTTTCGCCAAAATCGCCACTTGGCAAAGGGCCCCTTTGCCATCTCATTTGAATTTTTGTTTACAGTTTGGCGATTTTGGCGATTAAGCGCCATTTCTGCCATTTTCGCCAAATACGCCATAATCGCCACTTTCCAAAGGGCCCCTTTGCCATCTCATTTGAATTTTTGTTTATAGTTTGGTGATTTTGGTGATTAATTACCATTTCTGCCATTTTCAACAAATACGCCATTTTCGCCAAAATCGCCACTTGGCAAAGGGCCCCTTTGCCATCTCATTTGAATTTTTGTTTATAGTTTGGCGATTTTGGCGATTAATTGCCATTTCTGCCATTTTCGCCAAATATGCCATTTTCGCCGAAATCGCCACTTTCCAAAGGGCCCCTTTGCCATCTCATTTGAATTTTTGTTTACAGTTTGGCGATTTTTGGCGATTAAGCGCCATTTCTGCCATTTTCGCCAAATACGCCATTTTCGCCGAAATCGCCACTTTCCAAAGGGCCCCTTTTCCATCTCATTTGAATTTTTGTTTACAGTTTGGCGATTTTGGCGATTAATTGCCATTTCTGCCATTTTCGCCAAATACGCCATTTTCGCCATAATCGCCACTTTCCAAAGGGCCCCTTTGCTATCTCATTTGAATTTTTGTTTATTATATAGTTTGGCGATTTTGGCGATTAATTGCCATTTCTGCCATTTTCGCCAAATACGCCATTTTCGCCAAAATCGCCACTTGGCAAAGGGCCCCTTTGCCATCTCATTTGAATTTTTGTTTACAGTTTGGCGATTTTGGCGATTAAGCGCCATTTCTGCCATTTTCGCCAAATACGCCATTTTACGCCATTTTCGCCAAAATCGCCACTTGGCAAAGGGCCCCTTTGCCATCTCATTTGAATTTTTGTTTATAGTTTGGCGATTTTGGCGATTAATTGCCATTTCTGCCATTTTCGCCAAATACGCCATTTTCGCCAAAATCGCCACTTGGCAAAGGGCCCCTTTGCCATCTCATTTGAATTTTTGTTTATAGTTTGGCGATTTTGGCGATTAATTGCCATTTCTGCCATTTTCGCCAATGCGTGCATTTCTGGACATATCTCCAATAATCCCATGAAAAAGGCCCTAAACATGTACCTCAAAAGGAATGTTATTAGGGCAATTGCATTCTCGTCCTCATTCCGATCAAGTCCTGTCGTTTCTTGGTCGTGTGGTCTTGAATTGACGGCCTGCCACTGGTTCATTACAAATTGAGGCGAGTTGCTCTGGGGACGAGAATGCGGCAATTGAAGCTGAGATCAGATTTTGGCGATTTAATCCTTAACTTTGTGGATGACAAAACAACGTTTAACAAAAATGCGAATTCTGAAGTTCAAAAGCCAACTGACGATTGCGTTTTTCGCTGCCGTCAATCATCTTAACGGATCTCTTAGGAAACAAAACTTTACTTTAACGGGTTCAAAAGGTCATGGTTTGTGATTTGTGATTGTTGGATTTCGATCCGTTTTGTGTGTTTATGTGTTTCAAGGTTCGTTGCTTGTGATGGTAATTATGATTGACGGCAGCGAAAAATGCAATTGTGAAGGCGGCTTTTGAACTTTAGAGTTTGTGAGCATGTTTGTGAAAAGCGCAGTAACCAAGAAAAATTTCCCCTTTGCTCATTTTTGTTGTCGTTAGTTCATTTTTTGCTTTTATTTGCCAGTTATGAGAGTAGACGATCCTGATGACATTGACAGAATGTCATTCAACCTGCCGATTGTTAAAGAGATGGGAGACCAAGTACAGTTAGAAGTGAAACCATTAAGAGCCTATGAAGCCTTTGCTACAGAGCTGAAAAGGAAGGTCACTGGAGAAGAGGACGCTTTTCAGGAATTACCCTCAATCCCTAGGGCAGGATTGTTTTACTGGATAACTATTACGATCGAGTATCCAGGTAAAATTGGTGTTGCTCAGATAGAATGCTAGATTTATAATTATATACCATTATACAGGTGTTGCTATGAGTATCGGTTACATACCCAGATAAAATTGATTTTTCCGTGATCCCTTGTACAGTGAGGGCGCGGACCGACCAGCCACGCTGCTAAACCCTGGGCCCTGTTTCACCTGTTTTACTGCCAAACTTCTTATCTTGTATAAACGGTGACGGTGAGAACTTGGTAATGTCTTTTAAACCTCTAGAACAAGGAAAACTTTGCTTCTTGGCTCCTTGAAATCGGAACTGACAGAAACTTACGTCAGCTCACCGCAAACATAAAAACTTAACCTTTTGGTAACAAAATTGAGTGGATTGCGTTAGAAAAGAACTTTCTAGTTAAATCTAGAAATTACATTAGCGCACGTGTAAAGAAAAACAGGGTAGTATGGGATCGAAAACACCCGGAGGATTGTGGTCTTTAATCTGGCATATTAGAACTGACTGGTGGCATGTCTTTAATTCAAAATTAGTGAGGGATAGGGTAAAATATCTGGCCTGTTCGCTACAATGGCGTATGACAATAAATGCAGTTAAACGTTTATCTTATGAATAAAGTTTCCATGGTCCCGCAAGGCACACTCCTACCCGACTCTTAGACTACCGCACGAAATAAAATGGATTTTCACAACTTTATCAAATACATCTGGTTTTTATTCGCCTCGGCAATCTTATCTTGGTTTGATTCGTGCAGGTAAAACCCAAGACGAACTTCTGGCTGTATGGCTTCAAGAAGCTAAGGCCGCGATAGGAGGAAAGAAGAAAGGAAGTGTAGTGGACATATGGAAAGTGATTGGAGAAAGAAAGGTAGGGAGCCAGGGTCGAGGTCAAGTCCCATGATTACTCGGAGAGAGCAACTACGCTTTGTACACCTCAACGTACTCCCCATTATGCCGGACTTATCTCACCGCGTTTTCACCGATCAATTCCCCTCCTGTGAGCACAAATAAAGTATCAACTACAATTTACGTAATTTCCGAGTCACTCCAACTTGATGCTAAAAATGTTGCCACCTAACTCTGATGAACCCAGATTGATTTTGCCTTAATTTTTCGTGTATGGCTAATTAACTCTTGTTATTAATCCCACTTCTGACGCCATGTTTCGATTGTGGATAGTACAGCAAATCTCCACTAAGTTAAGTCGCCGAAGTAAGTTGTTCCAGCCTTTTTTGTGTATATGATAAATTTCATAATCGCGTGTTACACGTGTTTGTGCGACCTTCAGAACTGTAAAACATCCAGAACATCGTTGGTTTTTTCCGGCTTTGTGTTTACTGACATCCGTCATGTTCTTGCCTTTTAAAAACTACTGAGCTAATGAGCGTTTTGACTTATCAGCTTTTTAATGTTTTCTTTTATTCGATCGTCCAAGATCGGGAGTCCCGTATTCAGGCTTGCCTTATCCCGGTTTCTGAGAATTGATAGAGCATCTGTAGGACTTCATTTCAATACCAGTTATTCATTGTTTTGTTGCAGGTACACGTTCTGATGTGCGTCGATAGCCCTTATATCGTGGATCGCATTTCGTTTGAGCTGCCTCTAATGAAGCAGATGGGTGATAGTGTACAAATGGAAGTCACGTCCGTCAGACCTTACGAAGCTTTTTACGATGATCTTGAAAAGTTAGCGTGGTTGTTAAAGACGGACTTAACACTTAGGACGCCAATGGATTGACACCATGACTCCAGATAGTCTGTCCAGATATAAATTCATCGGGGCCAGAACGCCCTGAAATGATTGTTATGGGGATTTTTATAACGACTTTTTAGAATTTATATATTTTACTGAAAGATTGTTGACTTTAATTTTTTAGTTGTACTGTTAATCATTTGCTATTCAAATTATAACATATTTCAATGAGTATACTTTTAGAAATTTAATATTTTAGAATCGATATTTTTAATAGTTTGTTGTTACAAGTCAGGCGGCAGTAAATGATTTGCAATTCATAGTTCGTCTTATATTTAATTTCTTTGTTTATTGTAAAGCACATTAGATCATATACACATTCGCCATTTGGACATATCCCGGCACCTTGTTAGTCCCCCAAAATTTTGCATAAGCAGTTTTCTTCAATATATCTGGGAAAACTGCAATACCCAGGAGAAATGAAAGACAAAAGTTATGCAAACGGATAAACTTTTGGTCACGTGACATGTCACGTGACCATAATCAAAGAGGCTCGAGAAGTTCCTCCGAACACACCTTTCACCCAGGCCTTTAAAAATCCCTTGCGATCCATCTCCTTATCCTCCTCCTCCCCTCCCCTAAGAAAAACATTTTGTTAAGGAGCTTAAGCAACGACGACGGCGGTGGCTACGAGAACATCACTTAAAAAGTGAATTCGCTCTGCCTCGAACTCGTTTTATTCGTTGAATGTTGGCAAATCTTTTTGGAGTTGAATTCTAAAGGACTGGTATCAGAGATCAGTAAAAGAAAGAAAGTTGTTGTCTTTTGTTCCCGTCCTCGAGAAAAGGTGCAGTTAGGAAGTCAGTTCACGTTTAGTCGTGCAACGAAGGCTAGGAAATGTACAAAAAAGCGTACAAAGTTGTTTGTCTGCTAATCTAACCCTATTGCTTTTTTGCCTTCCTCGTTACCGTTGCCGCCGTCGTTGTTTAAGCTCCCTGTTATAGTTTTGCGGGGCGGGCCAAAAGTGACTAGGTGCTCGTCGGAAAATTTCGAGATCACCCCTAAAAGATACCAGAATCATGTTTTATGGCCGTGTCCCAAATTCACTGATTTCCACCCCTAAAAGGTGCCAATTCAACAACAGCAAAATATATCACTGGCACTGCAAATTTTAATGGTCATAAAGATAACTTTCGAACACTTTCTTCTCAAGGACTTTTTGAAAGTATTGTCATAAATCTTACCGAGACAACTCTGGCAGTAGTACCCTAAGCGGTACCAATCCACAAATTTAAACCCCTAAAAGGTACGACGAGCACCCCCGTCACTTTTATAGACGAGTACCTTTCCCCAACCCCCCCCCCCGGGGGGAGACTGAGGTCTGACCTTGGCCAAGTGACCGGATTCATTGGGTTGCCAATGTCAAATTTCGGGTTTACCTCGGTGTAAGAACCTGTGAACGTTTTCTTTGTTTTGCGCCTTTTGTTTCTCTAGGTTCTATTGTGTTTACTTCTTTGTTTTCTTTGTATTACGTCACCCGTGAGTCAACAGCCCGGGGCAGGGGGGGGGTACTCCCTTATATAAGCCATATAGGTATCCGTTTTGGTCTGAAAACGGGTATACACTTTGCCCATTTTGCTCCATACCATTTTTGGTATGGTTCTCGAGGGATCACTACGGAGTGTATGAACGTATTTATCGTGTCAATTCCAAACGAGTAAGCAAGAAAGAGAAATATGCGAATTCGAAATGGATTTGAATAATTTTTTGTTTGCGCTCTAACGTCTAAGTAATGATAACATAGTTTCTGCCTAAAGGCCAGGTCTGAAAACGGGTATAGATTTTAGAGGTCTAGTCTGAAAACAGGTGTGGAAAATAACTTTTTTTGGCCTGAAATTGGGTCAGGATTTGAGGAAAACCCCTACCAAGAATTCCCAGCATTAATAGTTTGCAAAATAAGTAATATTTCTACCTTAGACACGGAAGAAAGCACTATCGAAAAGCTAGATTTTCAAATACAGCTTTGATCTAGGAGGAATTTCGTGTCTATCATCCGTCCTTGGCAATTGGAAAATTAGGACTGTACACTTCTGGACTGGACTCTCGACTAGACTCTGGACTGGATTTATTTGTTTTTGCTTGTTTTTTTTTTCTCGGATCGATAAAATTAACGTATTTGCTAATATTTTTATTTTTCAGTGTAATAGTAGTAAATAGTTCAAACAATAACGCAGCGCGCGAATTGCTAGTCTGCTAGACAGCCGTTTTTAGTGTCGTCACGCAATGCAGGAGCGTTGCGTGACGACACTAAAAACGGCTGTGTAGCAGACTAGCGAATTGCCCCCTCTGTAGCTTCTTTTGCCTATACAGTGAATTCAAGAATGATAAAGAGGATCGGTTCTTTTGACGTTCTCTTTGTCTTCGCCGTCACGAAATCGCTTTTCTTTTTATCTCGATTTATTTCTTTATTGCTACTAATGATATGTCCTTCAGTCCCCAATGGAGTAGTACTAGCTATTTTATATAAATGTTGGGGTGTTCGTTGAACCCTTAAGATTGGAACTGTGGATTGAACCCTTAGGGTGCTTAAACTCTAAAATGATATCTGTTGGAGTTTTTGAGGAACCTTCAGAGGTAAAAAAATGACGGGAACGTCTTGTCAACCCAATCATCCCATTGCCATTGGAAATTGCCGCTAGACCATCTCTTATGAGGAAAGAGAATAGAGGGCCTGCCGCTGAACAGGCTATTTTAGCTAGGGGTGTTTTCAAAACTGTCTTGCAATCGTCCTGGCCCTAGTTGTTCAGGGTGGATAACGCTATCAACTGGATAAATCACTATCCACTGGATAGTGCATTTGGTAAAATGGTCTTTTGCTTCCTGCTTTAGCATGTTATGATCTTCTATATTTTTCTTTAGGCTGTTGGCGAACGCAAGGTGTTTTATGGTGAGTTTTATTTTAACTTCATTCGAAGGTCCCTTAAAAATTCATTGCAGTAACAAGCACGATAATGTTACGTTGAAAAGAACATAATCATCTAGTATTTAAGAGGGTCTCAATGGGGTGGTACCTTTGACGGTTAACGACCTTTTTTTTTCAGTTTTGACGGTTGACGTTTATTTAGTGGAAATTTAGTCCAAGAGTTATAAATTATCTCTTATATATAATTTCTTCACCGTCGCGTGCAGACATGCATGATCGCAGGCGTCTTTATTTTCTCTTTGCTTGTTTTATTTTCGCGACGTGCCTACTATCTGAGAGCCTGGCTTAGGCTAGTCTATACTGTGCTCAAATCCATGCCCCATGTCCCAGTTGTTCAAAAGCTGGATAGCGCAATCCATCGCGAATTACATGCACGCTCTATAGTGGCCAGAGGATACGGAATTTCTGCGTTATCCACTGGATAAATATAAGGTATTCAACAGATAGCACTATCCATTTAACTGGCTGATTTTTTTATGAAACACGCGTTGAATTTTGCCACTAAACTAAATTCCAGGGAAATTCAAAAATGTCATTGACTTTCTGTCTGGATACCCTCCTATGATCTGTTTGCCTCTGTTTGAAAAGCAGTATTTCCCGCGCCAAAGGTGACTGGCGTTCAGATTGAGAAACACGTGGTTGTCTCTGTGAGCAGCAATTTGCCAGAAAAAAGTTCAACAGTCCAAAGTTTGGATCCCCGCCCCCCCAATCAAAAATTCCTGGATCCGTCCCTGTAAAAGGTACCGCAGAATCAATGGTAGCTCAAAAACCGCTGAGAATCTGGAGAATTGGAGATTGGATCTTTTATTTCTTCAGTTGGTTATGGGTTCTTACGCGAGATAGAAAGTGCAATTAATTTGATTTCTTTGGTTTTTCCTGGTTGGTTATGAGAGTAGACAATCCTGATGACATTGACAGAATGTCGTTCAACCTGCCGATTGTTAAAGAGATGGGAGACTAAGTACAGTTAGAAGTGACGCCATTAAGAGCCTACGAAGCCTTTGCTACAGAGCTGAATAAGAAAGTTACTGGAGAAGACGACACTTTTGAGGAACTGCCTACAGTCTCTAAGGAAGGACTGTTCTACTGGTTAACTTTTACGATCGAGTATCCAGGTAAACTGTATTCCGTTGGTATTGCTGTGATACCCTGCTCAGTAAGGGTACTAGCTGGTGTTGTTGTGAGCCATTGTTCGCTGAGGGTCAAGTGGTAATACACTAAACAACTAAACTAAACTACTTTAATCACCATTACTGGTTATATATTTCTACATATAAAAAGTATGCAGTGCGACTTATTCTTGATGATAAAGTTGGCATAATTATATGAGATACTTTACTGGAAAGAATGTAAGTCCCAGGAAAAATAGAATTCTTTATTTTATTCGCTTACAGAACTTATCCAAGCATGGTTCAGTCATGGTTTATCCTTTCAGCATTTATTATAATTAAATTTGTCTAATTAAATGTAACGCTTTTGTTTAGGTAAAACCCAAGACGAAGTTCTGGCTGTATGGCCTCAAGAAGCTAAAGCCGCGATAGGAGGCAAGAAAAAAGTAAGTGTAGTGGATATATGGAAAGTGATAGGAGAAAGAAAGGTAGGGAGGAACAGAAGCTCTCATCGAACAATTCGCCGGTATAAATGATCATTAGAAACGTACCAGTAAAATCTTTAATTTCTCCCTTTTGAACACTCTAAGAAATGGACCACAACACCAACCCAAAAATGTAAAGGAATCTTATCATCAACCGTGTGTAATAGGACGTCGCCATAATACTGGGGAGACCTTTACAGGGTCTGGCTAAGGCCGCTTGTTCATATGATCTCGACTGACAATTCAAGGCGCAATCGCTGTCGAAGTTCGGGACTCTCGAATGAATCAGTAGAGTACCGAAGTGATGACGTCATAAAAATGAAATTTGTGAAATTATGGGATTTGTTAAGCTATTCTGAAAGAACAACGTCCAAGACGCCTACTCGCCAAAAATTAGCAATTCGGGGCAAATTGTCTCTGAGATATTAGCCCAGTTATGCTGTGACGATTCCATACAATTCCTTCTAAATTTGGCTTGGTTCATAAGATTAGGAACCAGGTAAGATTTAGAAGGATTTGTATGGAGTCATCGGAGCATAACTGGGCTAATGTCTCAGAGACAATTTGACCCAAATTGCTAATTTTTGGCGAGTAGGCGTCTTGGACGTTGTTCTTTCAGAATAGCTTAACAAATCCCATAATTTCACAAATTTCATTTTTTATGACGTCACACTTCGGTACTCTGTTCAAATGTAAATTAGATCACTGAGGCCCCATTCACATAAATCCGGATGTGAAACCGAATCGCCCCTCCGTCCGTCCACACGACATAGTGCCGAATTCAGACCTTGAGATAAGGGGTGGGGGGTCCGGTCATTCAGACTCTGAGATAAGGGGGCGGTCTCCAAAAATTTTTTTCAGTTTAGTCTGAAAATAATGGGGACGCCCCCTTGGGCCCCTCCCGTGAGTCCGCAACTGCGACGGAAGAAGAAAGCCGTCACTCAGCCCCTCCATTAGGAGCTCAAGCAACGACGTTTTTGAGCGACGCAAGTCAACCGGAACTGGACTTTTCCCATTCTTGGGCAATGTTATTGCTAAACTTTTCCGGCAAATTGTCTGTATAAGCGTAAGGAAACATGGCAAAACAAATGTGGTACCGTCAAGTCATATTAAACGATAAAAGGCCTTAATTTCGGTTGAAGTGCTGCGCCCAAAAACGCCTTCAATCAAGCTCCCTATCTTTCAAACCCGTCATCTTCTTCACCACTTGACCCCCGTCTTAAAGCTTACCTCATCTCCGATCATCAGCTCAATATTTAAAGATCAGGTATTGATTATTTGTGCTGTTTGTAGGTTCGTGTTCTGATGTGCGTCGATAGCCCTGATTACATAGATCGCATCTCGTTTCAACTGCCTCTAATGAAGCAGATGGGTGATAGTGTGCAAGTGAAAGTCACGTCCGTCAGACCTTACGAAGCTTTTCACGATGACCTTAAAAGTTGGAGTAGCTGTTAAGCGAAGACTTTGAACGTCAATGGCGGAACTGACTGAAACCCTGACTAAAAATATAAAGATACACCTTGTCCAGAACTCCTTAACAAATCCAGATCCCTTAAAACTTGGAAAAGTCCGAACAACCTAAGGACCTCTATCCTCAAGGTCAGCGGTCAGCGTCTTTTGCAGTTCCGAAGCTTTGCGGTGTTTATGAATGAAATTGAAGTAGACTAGAGAAAAGTCAATTTTTTACTGTCACTCTCGTAATCAGGAATGGTCAATGGTACACAAAAGTGTCTTTAAATAATTTAATATATCTTTTTTTTAATACAACTAAGATAATGTACAGGGGAAAAAACCCGGTTGTTTCACGGCCAGAACGTGTTTAGTTTATAAATGAATTTTCATCAATAGTTGTCAGCAAGCCAGGCATAACTATCTTCGTTGCCGTTGCCATGGATATCGTGGCGCATTTTCATGTGTATCATCGCATTTCAACAGCCAACAATAAAAATAATTTCTGCACAAAAGTTCTTCCTGGCATTTTGGAATAGTGAACCTCCTTGAAGTCCCCACCTAAGCTCCCCCAGTTCATGTTCCCAAGTAACTCTGGTGCCACGCTAGAGGGAGGCTCAGGGCGCCTGATCAGAATGGTTACTCCGCTGGACGGTCCTGTGCGGACTGCGACAGCTCTGAAAAAAAGTTGAAAAATGATATTAGTTACTTAGGGTCAACTTAGGTTTCTGGGAAACTGCCCACCTACCCCTCCCCTAAGCCAGCATTAACATTTACTTTTCACTTAGGGCAAAACATTGGCTTAAGCGGCGGAGGGGGGAGGGGGGGGGGGGGGGGAGGTGGACAGTTTCCCAGAAACCTCATAGTATAGTCGACCCTTGGGACTCGTTGGTTCGGTCCAGATGAAACTTACCGGTTCCATTTTCAAAATTTATTGTTTCAAGCCCCCACTACACAATTTCGGTGAAAAAGTAAAGCGCTGTCTCGCTGGTCGGAAATTTTGTTTCAATCAAATAATGTTGTTCTGTTTCCTTTGGTTAGTTCCACTGGTCTCTAAACGGTTGGTCAGTGTGGCATGATGAAAAGTACCTTTTAAAGTACCTAACCAATGCGTTGGTAGCATGCCAGCAGGCACTCTGGTGGCGGGGCGGGAATCGAAAAGGCCCCGCCGCTATAGCGCCCCGGAGAGCTTGCTCGCAGGCTAATGCGTTGGAGGCCAGGGAACTACTTGAATTGTAATCGCTCAGTAAAATACTTCTGTTTTCAACACTTACTTGGCGCCGTTTGGCGACTTCACAATCAAACCTCTCATATGACCCTGTCGCTCACTGGGACCAGTGCCCACGTGACGACTACAATGGATCACGTGCCATCCTAGGCTCAGCGCTAGAGAGTGCGCCACTGACAAGCGGTGATTGCAGACCTGCAAAAGAGGTGAGAGTATGACTTGTAAGTGGTATTTATTTGAATAGTCGCCGGAACGTTTGAAGGCTGCAAGACAGTGAGCGCGTATCGTGTTAAAGAAAAGCGTTAATAACGTCTTTAGTGTAACTAAAGTGATTTTTTTATTGTGATTCAAATTTTACACGGAACTAAGGGGAGCACTGCATAGACAAAACGATAAGCATTTCAGGGAGAAATTATCAATTTTGTGATTTAGGCTAAGTTCATACTTTCTTCACAGCAGAACGTCCATACGAGAATGTTTTTATTAATGGCCATTTGGGGCTTGCGAGTGAGACTACGTAGATCAACGTTGGGTCGAATTGCACTATGGGATTGTTTTGCAAACTCTATCATTTCTTTCTTTGGCTATTGTGATGCTGCGCAGAAACTGGGTCCACATTCGTCCCATAGTGCAATGTGACACAGAAGCTACACAATCCGTTTACGACCTCGTTCACACTGGAAAACGTTTACGACAATCGTATGTAAGGACCACATGTGATCCCGTGTGGACGGCAGCCTTTTAACGCACAAGTTTGTATGCGGGCTGATGTGGACATAAGTTTTTTTAGCTATTTGTTTTTTTAGCTATTTTTTTTTTTTGGCATTTTAATTTTTCAATGTTAACTTTTAATATTCTTTACATCTCCCTTTATTTCCTTTATAATATTAACTTTTAATGAGAAAGTTAAAAGTAAGACTCAGCAGCAAGATCAAAGTTGTCATTCTTCTTGTGTAAAACTTAGTAGCACAATGAGTCAAACCTGACTGAGAATGAAATCTTCCAGATCTTTCGCATGCGTTGATAAATCCGAACACAAGCCATCATTTGTAACAGCTCGAATTCCTCGAGTTCCTACACACAGCTGGAAAGACGATCTGAAAACAGTGAATTGTTCATTACCAAACTAGGGAAATACAGAAAACACAAATTCTAGAATAATGTGAAACACACGAAACAGCAATTAATGCATCAGTCAGTTCAAGAGTCGATTCCAGCTGTGCCTATCTTGCCAGGGAAAAAGTATTCAATTTGTGGATAGTGTTTAAGGTTCGTAGAAAACAAATGCCTCCATCAATTTTGGGGCAAATAAATTGCTTACTCACACCCTGAGACTGCAATAGCATATAAGTTCAAATGATTGGGTACGAGACCTCAGTGCGGTAGGCTCGACCACTCTGTACTGACATCAGTAGCATTTTACTCAGTATTATCTTAACTTATTAAAATACATCAGTAGCATTTTCATCAGTAGTATCTTAATGTATATAAAATACATCAGTAGCATTTTAATCAGTAGTATCTTAATATATTAAAATACATCAGTAGCATTTTCACCAGTGGTATCTTGATGTATTAATATACATCAGTAGCATTTAAAAAGTATTTTGTATCAGACTGTTAGATGACAAATTCATACCACGGCCTTGAACAACTTCAAAAATACTCCGAAATACAATGGCATAAAAAAATGCTAAAACAAAATACAAACTAACCTTCCCATATCACCAACATCTGGAGACGTAACATGTAATGTTGCTATAGTGTTTGTTTCGGAGCCAACCACACCCCACTGACACGTTACACAGGGATCAGGCACTCGTGACTTTAGCGCATCAATCACACCAGCGGCTCTGTTAAAAGAGAAGGGAGTGTTTACTAAAAGAAGTGACTCCTTAGAAAAGGCGCCATTCTTCCCAGCCAAAAAAAAAAACGCTTAACCATTTTCCTTTTTTTTTTTTCAGTTTTTTCAAAGGTAATAATAACTGATAAGCTGGCCTTGTTGGCGAAACGACCGTAAACCGTTTTCACCACGAGATCTTGAACCCTTCTTACCTTTTCTGAAGCACTTTATGCCTTGCAATGTTCAGCACTGCCTCCAAAAGACCAGGACTGCAAAAATGAAAGACAACCAACGACGAAACATTAATCCTATTTCACCTACTTGCCAAGTACTTGTCATTCTAACTTTTAAATTTGTTGGTGAAATCCTGTGGTGTTAAACTTCAAATGAAACCTTTTTGGTAGGACTTGTGGAAGGATCAAATTGCCTACACAGCCAATAAACGGTAGACCACACTCTCAGGGTTCATGGTTCCATATTTGCCCATCATCCTAGCTACACAAGTCTTAACAGTGGCTATGTCAAAGGGAAATTTCAGCAATTGCGCATGCTTACAAATGACGTCGGAGGAATGGGTGCAGTAATTGCATACTGATGACACGTCACTACTGGGAACTGGGTAGCGGTTCCGATTGGTTGAAGAAGAGGAACTAAACCAACTGAGATTTGGGACTCGATTATTTTCTGCTTCTGCTATCGATCCAGTTTCACAAGATCATAAGGGACAGAGTCATTAGCAGATTCTTAAAACGCTGAATTCCTAGAGCTTATGACTCGGCTACTGTGCTTACAATTCCAATGTTTGATTTCCACGCAGTCGAAAGTGCCCCCACACCCCCGCCCCCGTACTCCAGCAGTTCCAGAAACCAGCCTTAACCCTTTAAGCCCAACAGTGACCAACATCAATTTTCTCCTAACAATAGCCATACACTGTCAAGGGATAAAATGATCACCAAAGAAAAAATGCCTCGATTTTTTTTATCAAATTCTCTCAACTCAATCTTTACGGAAATGTATAGAGATCAGTTTGGAGAATTTGTATGTGGATATTGGGGCTCAAAGAGTTAAAGAAAAAAACAGAATTAACATTTTGGCACCTCTGTAGACAGGGAGCAACTTCAGCTGCAGTCAACGCCGAGGCACCAGCAAGACATAACCTCTTGCTGCCTCCCTGCATGGGGTATGCAGTCACTGGACGAGGTGTAGGTAGAGCCTGCGCCTGATGATGTCGCTTTCTTAGGAGAGAATGAAGAGCATACTCCAGGGACTGGTCATAAGATACTGTATCCTGCTGTGACTGTGCTGACTGAAATATATAATGAATGGGGCTGTCACTAAGATTTCAAGTTGCCGGGTAAATACAACAAGTAGGCAGGGAATCAAACAGCTCGGAATTTCTTTTGGTTCTATTTTTCTTCTATTTTCTTATGAAATTAACCAGGGGCCACGCTCATAGGAGCTTGGGGAATCCCCAGCTCTTAATGACTGCAGTCAGAACAAGGAGGACCATAAGAAACAGATGGGCAGGGGGGGGGAGTATCCCCTGCACCCTACATGAACAAAAAAGTATGTTATCTCTACTTCAATCAAAAGCACCTACATTGTACAATACTCGTCACATTTGTTGAAACACTGTCACGTTACGCCCTTCCCAATGTTAACTCATGTATCACTGACCCAGTTGTAAATATATGCAAATCTCAACATTGGGGAAGGCGAGCAAAGATACACTTCAGGAAAAGTTCAAAAAGTTGGTTGAGAAGGCATGACATGAAAATCCCCACTTTCAGTCGAGTGTTTCAACAAAATTTGACAAGTATTGTGGATTTATTACTTTAAATTATTTGACATAGTATTGTGGATTTATTACTTTAAAATTGTTTCCATTTTCAAACTTACTAATGCATACCAAAAGAATGACATTTAATTCAGTTTTGTTGTATTATTAGTATTATCTCTATAGAAAAATACCCAATACCACCTCACAGACAAGTGAAGCAAAACAAAATATCTTGTATGTCCATTTTTATGTATCATGACTTGTGCGCAACAATGTCTAAAATATTATTATTACATATAACACTGAATATTTAAAAAAAATGTATCAAGTTTTCATTCTCTGTACCTTAAATGAGCGTTGATTCGAATCCTCTTTTTGGGAACAGTAAGTTATGCAGAGATCTGTTCCCGGAAAAATCTGTTGACACAAAAAATTTAGAGTAATAATTATTTATAAACAGTTTGTTGGAATGAATTAAAACAATACTTGAAAAAAAAAAAAAAAAACTTAAAAACAACCTTTAAAATGTCAAGCAAGGGTCGCTAGTTGGAAAAAAACCTTTAGACACCAGTTCACTAAACTCACCTCAGCTCTGATTTCATTTGCCATTACAGAGTGTGGTCTGTTGTCAGTTGTGTTGTATGCTTCTTGTGACAGCTGTTAATTAATAAAAGGAAATCCATCAGAGCAAAGATTGAAAAAATTCTTGTCAAGTCATCCAAGACTAGTAGATTTTCTAGCCTGTGAAAACAGCTGTCTATACTTGCTCTTTGCTGATAGGGACGTTTCATCAGGAGGGATGTCTGCGCGTCAGTGACAGAAATTCCATACTGATGAGCAGACATAAAATCTGTCCGCATTCAAATGTAAACACAATTAATCTACTACAAAACAGTCCATTTTTGTGGAATATAATTCTTCTTCTCTAACAGAAGCATTCAAGTTTTGTTGGAGCTTGTCTGCCAAAGAACACAAATTTTTACCAAAATCGACCAGGAGAAACATAAAATCAAACAAATTTTACATTTGGAGCCCCCTTACTACTACCGTAACTGATTTCATATTTTTAGATTCCCTCCTAGAGAAATGTCCCTAGCAGTGAGGAGCGAGGAGAGACCACTGTTTTTGCAAGCGATGGATTTTCCTGCCAGGCAAGTAACACTATGTTCATACCCACTTGTCTTAAAGGCAAGGGCCAGGCAAGGCATCTTCTAACTAATTTACACAAAAAAACACACAAATATGTGGACTCGCCCTAGGCAATTAATTTTGAAGAATTTGAGAGCTGATGGTCTGAAGGACAAGCTGGACTTCATGTTTTTCTCACGTACTATCAGAAAAGACGACCAAGACAGTCCTCTAGCTGCACACAGTCAGCCCCTGGCAACTGACATGTACATGTACAATGTACATGTGCTCTTGGCCAACAATGTGTTACTGTGCTGGACTGGTATGCTGGCTATTGACATCCTGTGAATTGTATTGATTTCACTTAGCAACACAGGGTTCTCATTAAAAGCTGGCAACCAGCTGAAAAACCAGCTACTTTGAGGTCTGGGCTGTCTACTTTTTTGGGAAAAATGGGTAAAGTGAGGAAGTGAAAGCCTCAAATTGCCTACAGCACCTGATTGCCAAGCCACATACTTTTACATCCTACCTGTCTACTTTAAAACGTAATGAGAAGTGTTTTGATTCAAATTTCTGCCAAATTTCTGCCAGCCTTAATAACCTATCAGTCACAAAAATATCAGCTGTTAACAGACATCTAGATATTCTTCAAACCTGGATAAAGAGTTCCTTGCAGAACAGGTTGAACTGTGCTGACTCTAACTTCCGTTGCCAGGATGGGATGCCTACTGCTCTGCTGTCATGGCAACCACTCATCAGCCCTGACAAGAGAGGAATTCAAAATGTGATGAAACACTGGTAGCCATTTGAGCATACTAAAAAATCATAACTCTGGCTACAAACCATTTCATTGGATCAGGTTCTGAAAATGGAGTTGATATAAAGTGGAACATCTCCTGCTGGACACCTTTCTAGTACAGACAGCTCTCTATTACATGTATGCATAGTTCTCTTGTCAAGTCTCAAACAATTTACCCATCTCGATAATACCAACACCCACCACTCTAATATGGAAAGTTCACTTGGTTCCAGCAACACCACACCTCCTACAATACCCACCTCCAAAATAAGGACTCCAATGTAATGCCCTGTAGCAAAGACAGCTCCCAACTATATACACCTTGTACACTCTAAAAGCATTTTTTCCCATTTATTTGTTATGTTTTCAGTAATTTGGTATCAACATTTCTGAGATTTGAAAATGAAAAAGGGTGTGAATTCCTACCTCTTATAGAGGCTATTTCTAACTGCTTTCCAGATGTAACTATGGCAACCCTGACTTGTGCTGTGCCCTCTAGGTCACTGCCTACTGTCACATCCAGTGCTCTGTTATCCGTTGACCGCTGCTCAACAGTGTCTTCAGGGTTGGTGGCTTTAGTAACTTCAAATAATCCTGGATTCCTAAACTGAGATCCCACTGGAAAAGGAAAATCAAATTATTTCAGCAGCTCACACTAGACAATCAACCATTTAACCCGCCTATAATCCCCAATATCCACATTTAAAGTCTCCATAAAAAACTTCATACATTTCTTTAAAGAACTAGTTAAGAGAATTTGTTTCACTGCTTGGATATAATAGTTAAGATACTTTTTTGAATTGACAATAAATTTACCCCATAAGGTTATTTTAGGGAGATGCTACCTGTACTGGCCAAATTTGGGGTTTAAGGGTTAAACATGTATAACACAATGCACTTTGGTATAAGCGCTTGCCCTCCAATACAGGTAAATCAATGTCAATCCTCCTCCTCTGCTTTCATCTACATTGCAATCCACCTTTCTGCAGGTCTCTCCACTCTCTTGTTTCTGGGCTGAATTTCATCCCTCCTCCCCTCCTGCTTGTGAAAAATATTGGATCCACGCTTAGAATCTCCAGTTGGCACACTAGCTGAATCTAGGATGCCGAATGGCCAGTCCATTGTGCAACAGTATTACCCCGTTACAACTCCTCCCTTGCTTTGAGCAAGGCACAGCACTCTCTTTGTCCTCCATTCTCCCTGGTTCTTCTCATCACCCAGAAGAAGAGCAGCCTCCCCTACTGTAAGTATGACTCCCACCTCCTTGTTTAGGGGATGGTTTTCCATTAAACTGTGGATATATACATGTACTCTCTCTTCCATCGATTCCATGCATGGCCTTTAGCAATCTCTAATCTCCTCATCATCTTGGTCAACTCCTGGTTATTTTCAATGTCTTCCACTCTACAGGCATCTCGCCCCCACATGATTTGATACATTCATTATATGAACCTCTTCTTCTCCTTCAGTCTCAACAATTACGTCAAGGGATGATTATTTAGATTTCTCACAAAGTAAACAGTGACAGACTCAAATGATTCATAGGAAAGGTGAGACCTTCCAAGGGTCTTGTGAAGGGTCTTCTTGATCTCTATGATCACTCTCAAAATTGAGGTATCCCATTAAACCAAGGAGATACTTGAATTTCTCTTCATTAGAAATTGGTCTACTGCCAATTTGAGTAAGGGAAAATCTTACCCAATCCGTGGTTGTTCCTTTGAACGGGGGTCAACTGGCGTGACTGTAATTCCCCCAAAAGCAAAGCTAATGAGTCAGTGGGGAACATCAAACACTACTAGAAAATAGTGCTGCAAGCAGCACTGCAAACAGCAGTATCTTTTTTACCTGAACGGTATGTTAAATCTCCAATTATTGAAGCTCCTGTCCTCTTCAATCTCCATCTCTTACGTAACATCATAAGTTCAGAATGAAAATCTTTAGCACTGCTGGTTTGTCCTGAGTTACGATCAGCCCTTTCCTTCACAGCATCTTCCATCCTCTGGGCTCCTCGGAGCAGAATATCTGCAGCATTGGTCAGACTCTATGAAAAGAACACCATTTTTTATTAATGAATAGGAAAAATTTATGTGAGCAGTCTGTGCTATGTTATAGTTTCTCACTCTATATTATGTATTGATCTCTTAGAAGCATTACAATATATAGATTTAGCCAGGGCTAAAAGCGAAGCTCTCAATAATATTTATAGTTTGCTCAAACAAATTGTAAAATCATGTTATGCTAAGCGGCGAAGGCAACAAGAACGGTGAAAAAAACAGCAATAGGTCTAATTAGCAAAAAAACAACTTTGCACGTGCAGCACACTTTTTTTGTACATTTCTTTGCCGTTGCTTTGCACAACCACAACGTGAAACTTCCAGAAACTTCCGTGTTACACGTTTTATGGAAGAAATGTTGTACCTGTTATTGTTCACTTTTTTTCACTCGCTCATTTTCACCTTGGTGGCTGCTAGGTTTTCTCATTTTCTCACCGCCACTAAAAAATTTTCATGGTGTTCTTCCAACAAATAGCTCCTTATCTTCTGCTCTAGCTCTCTGTTGCTCTTTTTCTCCTTGACCTTCGCTGGCCTGTTGCCCTCTTTATTTTTTCTCTATATTCCAAATTTGTGGACATGACAATTAATCTAAGCTTAATACTTTAGACAACAAGGATACAGAAACAATTTCCGCTTTCCGTTTTCATCTTTATTGACTCTTTAGTTGTCTCTGCTTCACAAGACGTGGGTGGCTATGCGATTTCCCACCAAAATAAAACCTCGAGTTGCATTTGGGTTGCCATACCTACTGGTTGAGATATTTTACATTGGTATGCCTGTGGTGCGGACGGACGGTCGGTCAGGCGTGCAGTCACATGATTACCAAAATTTCTCGCATGGGTAGTGTTCTTACCCATGGTGCTCTGCTTTGCACACTTCACGCGTGTGGAGCTCCGCTAATATTGCACCTGGAGTTTCGATCAAGTTTAGTTAGAAGTGTTATGAACACAGATAGACACCTTTAGTGGCCTGGATCTTCTCATAGCTTGTTGCATCATTTTATTCATTTTTGTTTAAGTTAATGTAACTACATTACACATGCTAATTTAACCCAATGAACAGTGTTTAAGTCAATCACAGTATCACCTCTTAAATTCACTGTTGGTATATAGGAGAGGAGGAGGGGGAAGAAAAAATCTGGCCCTGAAATCACCTATCCCCAGAAGAAAACTAAAATCCAGGTCTGTTTTGGGCTAGCTTCACATACATTATAGAAACTATGCACGGTACACTAGTCCACAGTAATACACACTGGAAAAAAATGCAGTAAGTACTTAAATGATGCTCTGAGCACGAACAAAGTAAAAATAATGTGGTTAATTTGAAGCAAAAGAGAGCAATTATTATTACAGTACCTTCTTCTTGTTAATAAGGGAGAGGGTTGGTTTAGGTGTGGCTTGGTTTTGCGACACTGGATCCAATATCAGGTATTTTTTGTCACGTACCACATTCAGTACATCCGATAACACACAAATTTCTGTTAACGACTTCCTGCAAAAACGATATTAAGGAAAAACTTACTAACAATAACCTTTCCGCCAATAAAAATAATGTCAAACAACACTGCAGTGAAAATCTGAACGTGAAAATCTGAACTTTTTCCATAAAATTTATAGGAAAAGTGTGTTACATTAATTTAATGTAACACACTGTTGTAACAGTGGTTCTTAAAATATGCAATGTTTTAATTAAATTTTCTGTTTCAGTCTGGTCTATTGTAATATTAATGTAAATCTTGTAAAACCCAAGCTACTTGAGACAACTATAATTTCAAGCCTTGGACATTAAATTCATTATTTTTTGAAAAATACCTTAGGTTTTCTCTCACAGAATCCCATGGCCAAAGTGAAGGTTGAAATGTCACTAGAGACTTCTCTTCTTCTTCTTGTTCATCTTTTTCCTCTTCATGTCCTTTCACATCAGATAAGAAGTCTATTTTGTGAGCCAACTTAGCAAGTTTCTCTGACATGGACAGCTGACTTTTAGGGTAAAAACAGAAAATAATGTCATTGAAAGCTATGGTGGATATAGTGATTTTTGCCAAAATGTAACAGCTTAATTGATTTATTATTTTTCTCACAAAAGCCATTTTGATATTAACCACAACATTTTTACCATAATTATTATCAATGTATGTCTTACTTGGGTGATGGTAGTTAACAAACTCTGACTTTTGTGCAGAATTATACACAACACAGTACCAACACAGTTATTACTGTTTAGTGCTTTTTGAACGTCACAAATAGTTGGTTGACATTAATGCTCATTACTCATTCAAGAAATAATTTCTTAGTCATTTTGGGACCACCAAGGGAACAATTAATGCTTCAGGAATCTTATTATTTCATTGTCTATGTTCTATGCTGTTGTTAGAGTGAAGTCTTATGCAAGCAACTTTCCCTCGGGTAAAGGAAGCCATCATCACAATCATCCTAATAACATCCATGGGAATAACGATGTAATCTGCTTTGCAATAATAACATCATCATAGCTGATGCTGAGGATGCTTCTCTAGGATAAATTAAATAGAGCTCAGCGCTTTGCGCCTTTGACTCCAGGGTGCCCAGCATAAGATCTTAACCAAACAAGATACACTGCTATCCTAGGAAACATCCTTGGGAGTGGTTGGGCACTTACATAAACCTTTCAGTCCCAAGACTGATCACCATCAATTTTCTCCTAACAGTGTTTTTACATCATTGAGAGAAAAGTGTATGAGAATTCAGAAAATCATCACCAAAAGGATAATTCTTTGATCTTTTTTCAAATTCTCTCAACATTCTTTAAGGAAATGTATGGAGATACGTGTGGAGAATTTGTAACTATCTGGATTTCTGGGGCTTTAAGTGTTAAGATGAAAAGGGGGAATGGATTAGTGAGGTACACAGGGCCAGAGTATTTACATTTCATTAACATTTTCTTAATCACATTTGAGTTGGCACATGATTAGTCCTTGACATAATTATTGGGGAGAGGAGTCAGGAGTGCAGATATCAACTGCCTGCTAAAAGAGGTCTCTTATAGAGAGAGCAAAATGTAAGGAGAGGAAAGGGACCTCTGCCAGTCCCTGATGCATTTGCGATCACATATGCACTGGTGTTTCCTTAATAACCAGTAATGTTTTAGTCAAGTGTGACACAAATTACAGAACCAGTTTGGGCTCAGAAATTAAACAAAACTAATTTTGAAAACCAGTCAGTTTCGGCCACAAATGAGGTCCGAGGCTATATGAAAGAGCAAGTCAGAGGCAGGCAGAGGTATTTCTCCTTCATCCCACCTTCCTCTTGCTAGAAGGCCTTTGCTAGCAAGGAAAGATGTCATATTATGGAGGGTAGCAAAGGGTTTACGCGTGACGTGTGATTAGGTCCCAATTAATTGCGTGAAGCGTGAAAGTTCCCAAAATAGGGACGTCATCTGTGAAACCAGTTATGCAAAGTGTGATTTATCTTAAAGCATCACAGTCAGCTATGGGACTGCACTGGCCTGGACTCTACTTTCGCCAGTTTGAAAAGTGTTTACCTCAACCCGAAATCAAATCTACGCGTCCGATACATCTAGAAATCCACTTCAATCCTACCTAGCGTTTCATTTGATCCTCAATCTTTTACTGAAAATCTCTTTTTGAGCAAACTTTTACCCATCGTATTACATTATTTTATCATATTTGGTTAAAAACAGTATTCGAAGGAACATGAACAGGAGAGGTGAGAAATGTGTAGGCACCGGGCGGGAGAATTCACCTTCGTTTACAAAAACAACAAGAGAAATGAATCAGTAACATTGACGAGCAAATAATCGTTATATATATTTGGAAAATGGATGGAAAAGGTTACATATATTTGAAAAATCAAGCGTTCTCGACCATGAACCTTCCACACAGTACAATCACTCAGACTTTATGCAATTTCTCACCTCTACTGATGTTCGAATTGGGAAGTATTCGTCGATGTTTGGTTTCCCTGGAAAAATCCATTGGTGAATTCTCAATGGTATATCAAAAATGAGTGTTCTGATGTGGCTTAGGTTTCAGCTTGTAACTAGTTCAACTCCACAAGGTTTATTTAGAGTATTCCGGATACGCTTTTGTTTCACATACGTCTTGTACAAGAAATCAGCTAAGAAATGGTATTTAACGCGCATGTGCATCAGCTGACTGTGTCCCTTTAAAATTTGTGCGGGACTCGTGAATAATTTGTCACATTTCGTGAAAAATCAAGAATATAGGACAGATAGGTTGAATAGGGCCACTGGTTTTAATCTCTGCGTTACGTTTTTGTCTTGGTTGATAATTATTACCTAAAGACCACACCCTAAAACTGCATGTGACCAGTGACCTTTGAGATTAATTATGGTCCACTTCAGTAGCCTGTTCCAGGCGTTCAGATAGTAGAGTGTGGTGGTCAGATGGTGGGGAGGCTACCACTTCAGCAATCTTTGTGTTGCTTCGTTTTGGGTTAAAATGAGCAAATTGACCCTCGGAGGTCACAGCCGCTGTAGCCTGCACTGGAGACACTGGTTTTGTTAAACCGAAGGGAGAGAAAGGAGTAAAACTAACCAAAAAACTAACCTGCGCTTGCCACGCAGGCTTCAGTTGCTAGCGGGTAAAAAGAAGTACCATCAGGGGCATTTTAGTGGAACGCACACCTGGAAGCACGAGTTTCCCACATCCGCGACTGCTCGGTAACACCCTTTAACATCGCCCCACCAACATTCTAATGAGAGGAGAAGCGGGGAGAAGCTGCGATCGTCAACTAAAATGCGAATTGGGATCCATAATGACTATGTTTGGGTTCTTAGCCCTCTTAACTAACAGGTGATATTCGTGACTCGTGAAAACGGTTTATAACCCACGTGATAAGTGAAATTTGCCAAAATTTGTACGTGAAATGGGATCAAGACCCCTCCTTAATGACCGTTACTACCCTCATTATGGCATGACCAAAATACAAATTTGTTATGTTGGAACACAGTTTCCTCTATATCTATGAGATACATGTATCTCAAAGTTAATACTCGAAAAAATACTTACGGCACATATTTCTCCTGTCCATCTCTAGAAATCTCTTCCACTTCACTTTCCAGAAGACTTTCAATCGCGATGTCCACATCCAAGCGAGTCGCCATTTTGAAAGGAAGTAGTGAGCCACTGATGCGCACGCTCTTTATCGAAGACCTCACTCAGTGATATCACGGGCTCAGTTCATCACAGCGTGCAAAACAACATGGCGAAATGACAGGTGTTTGAGAGGGCTTGCCTTGCTGGAAGTAAGTTTTAGACAGATTAGTTCATTTAATCCCCTGTTTCATGAAAGAAAACCACATGCCGTCTTTTTTTCGCAGGTTTTTATGAGATTCCTTCTATTTTCAGTTCCCCATGTTGAAAATTCGTACGTTTTTAATTCTGACGCCAGTCAGCTTTCGGCAGCGTTCAACCCTGATATTTTTCCGCCTTTTAAAGAAATTTTAAAAATTTTAAGTCCGCACCCACTGTCTTATGTTTATATACAGTGAGAGTATTTTTACGTATTTTGCCGTTTAATTTACTAAACGAATTTGCCTGGCTTAATTTTGTATCCGGAAAGTGCGGAAATGTGTATCCTGATACCAGAGGTTTTCTTGAAATTTTTCTTCGGGAAAGAGAGAGGATTTCAAGAAAAACCTCTGGGACCAGGCTAGAAAATGTGATGTGAATTTATAAATTCGATAAGGGCTTAAATCAGTGGATAAATGCTATCAAGCCTTTGAGAGTCACAGGGATAAATCAGGGTTTTTCGTTGTCTCTGTATATGTGTAGATGCTGATAGCGTATTCTTGGTGTAATCAACACACTTTTAAGACCTTTATAAGATACTTCGGATGACGGGTAGATGATAAACCCTTTTTCATTTGAAAGATGTAAGATCGAAGATGTTGTGGTTTTCTTTCTGGTGTGATTTTGTTTGTGTATGTCTGTGCATGCATGTACCATTCCTACTAGATTTAACGGTAAGATTTCTGTTCAGACCCACTCATTTATTATGCATAGCAGCAGTTTCATACCATTTCACACAAACAGTAAATATGAACAGAGTCAAAACATGTACACATAATAAATGTATGGAGGTGTTTTGCAGAACACGGAACAGCCGCTGAACACCAAATGACTCTGATGTTAAGTGATTAGGGTCAGGAAACTGAGGAAATCAAGTTTCAGGTCAGTTTGCCCAGTATAATAACCCTAAATGGAACCTGAGTAACTCAGTTTCCTTATCCTAATCACTGAACTTCAGAGTGATTCATAAGGCATTCTGGAAAATGCTCTTGCCAGGAGCTGTACAAAAATCTTTTGCTGCTCTTAGCATGCCTGATAAAATTTCTGCAAGGTGCCATACACTACTAAGACATACCATACCCTTTTGTTATTTCTTAGCAACAAACAGCAAACATAAAGCCTTGATTTCATAATTTTGTCGGGCAAATCCCAGATGATAGGTGATTTTACTGACTTATGAAAATTTGTAGATATCCTCATCATATGGGATGATCAGGGATAATAGGGAGAAATGGGAGCATTTCTATCTTTCCTATGCATCCCAGATATCTGCAAAGGTTAGCAATCAGTCCTGACATACGAAAACTCAAATTCTTGTTGGGAATGTCAGGAATCAATGCTTAGGTCCCAATCCTCAAACACCTTAGCTCTTACAGTCTTAGCTCTCGTAGTCTTCCCCTCATAAATCAAAATGGTGTATGGGACAGACTGTTGGATTTTCCTGACATATGAATACCAATCTTAAAGAGAATGGATTATAATCATCAATGAAAAAATTAATATTTACAACAGTCCCTTGCTTAGTCTAAAATATTAGACTAATCCCCTTACAGATGGCTTTCACAGTAACATCGTCAAATTTTAAAGTCAAAATAGAGAGATTTTACAAATTCTTATTCACACTAGGTTGAAGAAAAACAAAAAGTTAATCTTTGTACAAGTTTTCATTCCTGTGGCATGTTTCATTTCGAAAATACAGCAATTTGAACTTCGAGTTTTCACAGTGCGTGACACCAAAATAGGAAATATTATGCTGTCTCGTGAAAAAAAGTGTCTCCTCTTGATTTTCAGCAGTATAACCATTCCAAGTATTAGAAGATATTTTTATGCGCACGGATGCTAGTTCTTGAGTGAAGAGAAGGAGCTTTTATAGAAAAAGTGTACTCCAGATGTTTTTGTTGATTTTTGGCGGCCATATTGGTGCACCAAAACGGTGCACCAATATGGCGTCTCCATACAAAGCTCTACAAATGTGCGTGAAACGTTTCGGCAAATAACTCAGAAACTGTGGGCCACAAAGACCTGAGACTTGGACAAATTGTTTAAAAATTAGTCTTTAATAACATTTCATTTTCTTGGCTTCTTCCACTGGACAGTTTCCAATTTATTTTTTTGTTGCGTGACAGTGAAAACGATCTGTACAAAGGTAGTCAACATACATGACTGGAAAACATAAGAAATGATGCATATTTAGCCTGTACACAGACGTTGTTTTATTTTTCTTTTCATTCTTTTGAAAAATATCAGCGTGTGTGAGAGTGAGGCGAGCACGCGAGCGAAGTGAGCGAGTGAGAGCGAGTGCGGAGCGCGAGAAAGAAAAATAAATAACATCTATTTTCTTGTTCCCCCAACCCTACCCCCTTGCGCTGGTGGTCAATAAATCCCCCGCGGTTTATTTTTAATCACGCGCACTCAACGGACTTTGAAGAGAAAATAGAGGGTCTGTGAACAGGCTAAGATGCATATTAAATCAATCTTGCATTAGGTGAAGAAGTGAAATTTTGCAACGAAGAAATAGTGGTTTCTATTTAAGCAATAGTAACAGGTTTGCAATTTCAAAATGAATTTTTTTTCAGTTTCTGCCTTAAGAAGCATCATGCATTATGCTGCTTTAAGCAGAAACTGGAAAAATGATTTACAGTTCAGTTTGTCACTAAACTGTTCTAGTATGTATATGAAGAAAATGATCACCACAGTTATAATGGGCACAATGCCGAATGATATTTTGTGATCATTTCTCTATATAATACTATACATTCACTTTATTAAAATGCACTTTGAAAAGTAGGTAGGAAAGACATGAATGACAGTTAATGACAAAAAGGCAGGCGTTTAACACTCATACTTTTCTGTGTACACAAGCATGTTTTAGAATCTTCTTCCCTGTTTTTATTTATTTATTTATTTATTTTGGCTTAAACGAGAAAACAGTAGGTGCTAGTAAATTGTATCATAGCCTTGAGGTATTATTGCCATTGTACCTAGGGGAATAAATATTTATAGTTTATGTCTTTGATAAAATGGCAAGGTGATATTTAATTTGGCTCCAGTCTGTCTCATACCAACATGCACATGTAAAAATAACAATTTTCATCTCCACAACACGTAGGAAGATTTTGCAATGTTGATAGATTTCTGAAGGTTTCTTTTGATTGCAGCTGCCTCATCTTGTGGCTTATAAGTATCAATATTGCCCTTTGAAATACACAATGCTAGAAAATACATCTTTGAATGATTGTAGCCAAACATGGCAGTATGAAATGCTCTGCCATTTTTACATCAGAATTCATGAAGGTGTGGTTTCTTATGAGACAAGAAGTACTTTGACTTGTATTTTTTCCAAGTACACATCAGCACACAGCACGAGCGTGCCATATTGATCCTTATTTTTAGCCGTGACGTTTTATCTGTACACGTATTTACTTCTGGTTTTCTTTCGAATAAATGGAGCAAAGTCCGAAAGAATAATCGTTCACTGAGAAAAATCCTTAAATCTTGCGCCTTCCCGGCATGACTGAATCATAAGTGAATTACTTGAATAAAGCACAAAGACGCGTACAAAGAATAGTTTGAATTCCCTAAGAGGCAAATATTTGCCACTATTTGTTCAAAATCTATCAAAACATGTTTAAACTGGCTATCTTTGTTAGTCGTATGAGGCCAACATGGTGTTTTGCATGCACTTTTCAGGTTTTAAAAGCACACGAAACATGAATCCTAAGAGCAAATTGCTTTAATGGGTGACATAATTTGTTTTCTTATTAAATAGATGTCACGTTTCTTATTTTTTTCTTTTAGAGACAAATCTATCATCGATTGCACGCCGGAGATCAGTTTCAGAAAGCGATCAAGCGGAACCAATGGCGTGAGTGCAGTCAGCTGGGGCGTATCACGTGATCAAATAAAATACAACGCTATTGTGTAGTTGATAATATTCAAACACGAAGTGAAATGAATTGACCGTGGCCTCAAATGTAAGAAAAATCAATTTCACACCCTTTCGATCAACGTTTTTATCGCCATGGATGGTTTGTACCTGAAAATAACACAAGAATTTACCCCTGACCGAAAAGAAGCGAGGTTCGGTGGGAAAGAAGCACCGATGGCGGTTGAAAAAGGTGATATTATTTTCGACGTTCGCAAGCTCGGGGATGGATGGTTGTGTGGGAAGAATATAAACAGCGGAAAAACAGGAAAATTCCCCGAAAATTGCGCGGCCAAACTTTCGGGAAGTAAGAATGGAAACCCTGAATCCGACAAGAAAGATGAAAAACCTGCTGAAAAGAAAGACTCAAGCAAGCCCTCGTGGCTTCAAACACGAGCGAGTTCCAACACACCTTCTGCCAAGAAAACGCCTGAATATCCTAAACCTTTCGCCGGAAATATCAGGACGTCGAGATTGAATGACAAAGAAGAGAAAAAGGAAACTTCGGGAGATTCTGGAGTTGTGGAAGATTCACCTGAGGGAAATTATGACAACGCTCCCGATGAACCAAAACCAGCGAACCGCGACGCGTTGAAAACCGGAAACAATGTCAAGGACGATAAACAGAAGGAACCGAGATCACTAGCGACAAATCTTCAGACAGATCACAAACAGAAGCCAGGAGCAGCCAAAAGGAGTGACCCAGTGAAAGAAGCGAAAGAACCAGGCAAGGCTTCAGGTAGACCTTTTGGATTAAGTTTGAGGAAAACTCGTGACGCTTTGAAACCGACGGAATCGGAAACGAAGGCAACTCCGAAGACGGGCACTAATTCGAGAAATTTCCCGCGTTCAACCCCCGCTCCACAGAAGGCTTCACAGGAGGATTTAGAAGAAAATTACGAACCTGTTGAAAAGAAAAGCGAAGAGAAAGGGCCATTGCTGTCTAAGGTAGCAACTAAAGCCAGTCAACCGAAGAAGGAAGCGAAAGCAGCTGACGTTAAGGCGGCAAAAATTAACCCGATCGATAACCCGAAGAAAGAAAGCGAGAAAAATCAATCAAACGTGACCACTACTGTCGCTGCTGGGGGCGCCGGAGTGAATATTCAAGAAAACCCTCTCGGGAAAGACGAAGGCAGTATTTATCAAGTTCCTGGTGTCGCTGGGCCGCCAAAACCGAAGCGAAGTTTTCCGTCAGGTTGCTCAGAGTGTAACGAGCCTCACATCTACGATACACCGATGCATTACCAAACGCCACCCGGGTCTCCGACCGCGGCTGACAAACGAGATGGGCGCGAAGCAAAGATCGAGAAACCGAAAGAGGCGAAACGAAAAAGCGGCTCGACAAGTCTGAAGCCAACATCATCAGTGATTAAGAAAACCAAGGAACATATAAAACACCGCATGGCTTCGTACGAGGACATTGAGTTAGAAGGTAGACGTTCGCAAGAGAGTTTGAAAGATGCCGAGCACACGGCTAAGCGAGAGAAAGAGAAGCTTCTCACGCCGAAGAAGCGACCCAGGTTGCGCATTTTACTCGGCATACTTTTAGGTTTATTACTGGGTGTGTTCGTTTTCCTAGCGCTATATCTCCTGGCCAAACTGCACGTTCTCTTATGCGCCATTTCCGCTCTGATAATCAGCATTGTTGTTGCTACAGTGTTCGGGTTCCTCGACAAAACTCGATTGCAGTGTATCGTGCTACTCATTTTCCCGAGCTTGTTTGCTGCAGGCGGAAAAATTGCGTTGTGGTTGCTGATCACGTATTTCATAATATCAGGCCCAGTTTGCAATTTTATTAACAACGTACGAATTGTTGCTGTTAGTAGAGAATGCTTAATGAAAAGTGACAGTTTAGCAGACAATAGCAGCATTGATCCGCCTGGATTTGTCGCCGTGAATAACAACAATCGAGCCGTTGTACAGCGATTGCGGACCTACGAGAACCTCTCCCACACACTTCTGAGTTACATTAACAACTCTTTGTCGTTTTCATCATCTGATCGGAATGATTATTTATCTGGACACGACAATTCGTCATCTGGGATAATTTGCATGAACGCTCTTCAACGTGCCCACAACATCTGCTCCTCCGAGATCAACAGTATTTATGAAGAATGCAGCAAAACACCCGCCTTGAAGACAAAATGCGAGTTCATCACTGCAAAGAACGCGTGCGATCACTTATCAAACACTTACACGAGAAATACGTGTGACAACATAAACACTGTTAATATCGACACCTTGTTACATATTAAGAAAATAGTAGAACAAAGCCCCGAGAAAATCAAAACAAAAGATGATAATGTCACTGCTGTTACACCAGGAGAACTTTGTCAATTTATCCGGATTGTCGAGATGCTTTTGCCATTACTTTTATTGGTTTTATTTTACGAAGCGTACAGGTATCACAAGCTCTATCTCTCTTGCAATGAATTTGATAATCACTACCTCACGCTTCGGTTCAAATCCATCGAAGACATGCGCAAGTCGAGCGGCGCCGCTGACTTACTGGTACCGCTGAAGAAGGCTGAGCTTGAGAAGTTTGTTCAGCCCACTGCTTGCCGGCTGGCAGAGTCTGAGAAGAAAAACGTGCTGAAATACCTGCTAATTTACCTGATTTACTTGCTGTTTGCGCTGATGTTCATTTTACTAGATCATTTCTTCTATGTTGTTATCACTCACCGGGAACCGCCGTCCAATACAGCTGAAGAGTGTCATGGAAAACTGAAGAGTCCTCAAGAGTTTTACACTATCACTTTGTCAACTCTACTTGGAGTGTTACTGCTGATTATATTGCTTCAACCGTTCGCGCTTCGCTTGCGTCGCTTGATCTCTTCGCGATTCTACCCTAGAAGAGAGAAAAAACGCATTGCCTATCTGTATTACAAACTCCTCGAAAAGCGCAAGACGTTTTACAAATCTGTCATTGAAAACATGAATAACTTCTCAGAGGAAACTGAAATTCTTAATAGACTTGATGCAGTTTTGGTTCTCTGCAACAATTTTAGCTGGTTAAAAACAGTGCTAGAGTTCGTAGGAGTGAACATTCGCCGATGCGCTGTTTGCGGAGCAGGAGTAAATAGGAAGTATATTTTCTGTGATACTGAGGACTGTGACGTCATCTACTGCCGAACGTGTTTCTGGGACCTGGAAAATAAGTGTCTAGGTTGTATGAGTAGTAGCAAGATGACGTCACGATCGTCGAGTTTGAGTGGCCAATCACAAAGGAAAAAGAATGATTACGTTAAACCTGTGTAAAGCTTAATGAGTAGCCGAAGACATTTGCAGATATAAATATTGATCAAGTCGATTTAATTATTCCAAGGAGAAACTGCAATTTACTTGCCAACATTTAATCGAGCCTAAACTCAAAATGGCATAGCGCTCGTGCATTAAAGAAGTCTTATTGAATATTTAAGAGACGCAGAAACGCTTTTGTGTCCGTCCTAAGAGCAGAGTCGTCGAAAGCAACCACTGAGAGAAACCTTGTTTTTATTCCACTGTTATTTAATGGCAGAGTTATAACCGTAAACTGAAATCATCAATTAAGTCTCGTTTCGTTACGTTGAAATTCACTGAGAACAGTCGAACTCTGAATATCTGGACTATTCGGGTCTGGAATAAAATTGATGAGATAATAAAAAATGTGACTTGTAATACTTAGATTTCTGACTTGGACGGAAATAAAACTGAAGAAATTTAAGCATGAGCACAATGTTGTCTTCTTCAATGTTTAGTGTCTACTTCATCACTTTTAGGCCACTATGTTCACACTATAACCAGGTTTCGTACAGAGTCTTGAATTCTTAAAAAAGTCTTGAAATTTGTCCAGCTATTTTCTTGACCTGGAAAAAATCTGGGACTAGGGATAAAGTCTTGAAAAAATAAAAAAATGTCTTGAGTTTTTTTGAAAAGGTAATAAGTGCTTTAAAAGTGAATTTTTTTTCCGTTTTTGTCAAATCTTATTCAACCTCGCCTGTATGTTAACAGTGCACCACGAAAAAAGCTTTGCTCCTGCTTTGTTAAAGTCTCTATTGATCACCTATTTGATAATCTTGAGTCTGGAAAAAGAAATCATTGTTTTGGAAAAGGGTCTGGAGAAAGTCTTTAATTTTGGATAAAAAAATCTAAGCGAACCCTTTATAAATGATAGCTTTTGCACGAAAAATCATACCAGATAGGGTTCAGTTCACACACAAGAACGGAGCGAAGCAGCGCCGCGTCGATCTCTAAAGCGGAGAATCACCTAGCCTGTGCCAGGCTCTCAGATAGTATAGTGTGGACGTATTAAAAGAGCCTGGAACAGGCTAAGAATCACCGGCCTAGTCCAGAGGCGTTCTCGGCTCGGTCAATCCTGGACTCTACCGTAAGCTGTGACGTCATCCAGAGAGGTAGGCTAGAGAGTCACATATCGGATAGGTGTTCACATTATATCGGATAGCTTCTCGTCTCGGCACGAAAAGCTATTCGCTATAGTGTGAACACAGCCTTAGCGTTTTGCAGGCTCCTTTTATTTTGAAGAGGAACGTCAGTCTGTTCCCAGTAACGGATCCAGAGCTTGAGATAAGGGGGTGGGGGGCGCCGATCATCCAGACCCTTAGGTAAAAAGGGGGGCGGTCTCCCAAAAAAATTTTTTTGGCCCTTCGGCGGCTCTCAGTTTGGTCTAAAAATAAGAGGGGGCCCGGGCCCCTCCCCTAGATCCACCACTGGTTTCATATATCTTTACGACATTTTAACCCTTTCCATCTCAGAGCGAATGACTGAGTCTTGCATGACGTGTGAACGAAATCCTTTATTTGAGTGTCAATGTATTTAGCACGGAAGTATTAATCGGAAACACTATTTTTACGTCTCCAACTGGAGACGGGACCGCTACTTTACGTGGTCATCCGAGCCAAAAAGGAAACCTCTTTAGCTGTACTTTTACAAGGTAGTTCTAACTTTTGAGTCTGTGGATGAAATCCTTTGGTGTGATGACCATTCCGATGAAACCTCCTTGGCACTCCTTTGACATGGTGTTATTTGTTTTTCAACATTTTTTACAAAGTGAAATTTGAGTAGTTTTCTTGCTGTTGCAGACGCCGGTGCAAAAAATTTAAAAGACACCGAACAATACGTTAACGGTCGTAGACGATGACACAAAAGCCGGGGAAACAGTTGTTTACTCACCACGTCCCTTCGCAGTGAATTCTCAAAGACCTGTATAATAGCCTATACAGCGAAACTCAGTGAAGTGCTTGAGTCTGAGGAACCGTTCCTTGACCGTTTCTTTCCAGGAGCCCACGTGAGAGCGGCGGAAATGAGCCTACAGGTAATTTTGTTATTTGAAAGGGTCTTTAATAACCAAAATCAATCTTGTTTTTTTTATTATTTGTTAAATGCTACAAAAGGATATTATGAGTAGGTATTTGAGAGGGTGCATAAAAGTGGTATCTCCAGGTCTCTTTCCCTTCTTTCCATGTTAGAAATCGAGTTGACCCTGGGGACGAGGCACCCCTAATCCCGGGCCCACGATACAGACCAGCGTCACCTAAAAATGGCGGACGCCGAAGCTTTCCAAGACCGTGAAAATCTTATCAATCTTTTTGCTTGTTATGGTAAGGTGTACGCCTGGGATGTAGATGATGTAATCAAGATGCGTTCACAGTATCGCATAGTTGGCTCTCTGATAGGATCGCTACCTCGCAAACCGAGACAAAACAATGCTTTCTCTTTGCCGCTTCTTCTTTCTCGAGAGGAAACCACGTTGCTGCTAGATAAAGGTTTCGCCAGAATCTTTTACATGCCAAGAAACCTACCGAAACCATCAAGTGAATTGGTTGGGAAGTTTAATGAGCTACGCAAAGAAAGTGTCATCAAGCAAAATGAGCAGTTTAAAAAGATGCAAGAAGAAAAGAGAAAGGAACTAGCTGATGTAATAGCTGATGGCAAGAAAAGAAAACGAGAAAAGCTTGCTAGTAGCACGGCAAAGAAGTCGCAAGATCAGAGAAATGAAAATCAGTTCAATTTTACTTGTAATGAAAGCAATGTGTTTCAACAAAATGATGAAGGAAAGGAGAAAAGCAAGCGAAAGAGCGGAGAGGTTACAGTTGATCACGAAGATACCAATCTTGCAAAAAAGCTAAAGAGCGAGGAATTGAACAATGAGAGTTTTGAAGCCAAGGAAACTAGTGAGAAGAAAGACTTAATTCAGTCGAATGATTATTGTAAAAAAATCAGTAATGAAAATGTTAATGAAAGCTTTGAGGGATCATGTGTCAAGTTTATCACAAAAGAAGCTAATGAAACAATCCCGACCAATGCAAATGCTGATCAGGGGAATCACGGAAATAAACCTGTGAATGAGACTGGACTACAAACTACAATTGATTCAGATACTAGTACCAAAGGACTAAACAGTGTTTGTGACATGGGAATATTGGTACATATTCCTACGGTTATGCCGCAATTGCTGCCTTCATTTCAACTTGCAGACTGGACATATCCTCAAACGAGTTGCGAAAAGCTACGTTACCAGGTGTTTGTAGACCTCTGGGAGAAGGGATATTATTTAACGTCTGGCATTAATTTTGGAGGAGATTTCCTCGCATATCCAGGTGATCCCATTAGGTATCACTCCTTTTTCATCGTAATTATTGTTCCCTGGGGGAAGAAAATTACACCATTTGAGATCATATCAGCTGGCAGACTAGGGGCTAGTGTAAAGAAAACTGCACTTCTTTGTTCAGTAAGTGATGAAACAGGCCAGGTTATATACACGTCAGTCAAGTGGAGTGGAATAAGCTGAATTTTAACACTTTCGCTTCATGGGAAATTGTTAATCAGAACACTTCATGGAAAATCCCAGAAGTCTATCATCATTAGTCTTTTCTTAGCCCAGTGGCACATAGGACTATTGTCTCCTATAGTATCATTCAAAAGTACTTCAAGAGGTGTCATTTAATTTACAATGCCATAAAATGTTATTCAGAAAAGACTCAAAAGTTAGAACCTATTTATACATGAATTATTATTAGCAATTTTGTATGATTGGAAGTATGCACTTGTGCACATTTTCTGTTATAATAAAGGCTACGAGTCCTCAACTTCTACATTCACAAGATTTAGATCAACTTTTGCTGTTTAGAAGGAGTGAAAATGATCAGTAATGTTTAGTTTATTTGCTCAGTTATGCTGCAATCAGAATGATATGCCTGACTACAGGTCGAGTGCAGTTCTATAATGAAAGGCAATCATGTCACAGGGGTGGATCCAGGAATTTTTTATCAGGGGGATCCAAACTTTGGTTCAGAAAGGACTGTTGAACTTTATTGTGGCAAATTGCTCCTCCCCCACACCCCCTCCCACCAGTCGCAGTTGCATGCGTGTTATTCCTTGGCCCCTTACTGTGTACTTGAATCACTGGATGAAAAAATGGATTTCCCTTCAAATTTGCTTATGTGCAAAAGAGTGCAAAGTAAGAGAAAAATATGTGCAAAAGTGGTAAATGCCAAGTTTGCACACCCATTTGCACCCCTGTGTAAATGGTTTAGCACATTCGGCATTTACCACCTTTACGCAGTCTGATTTTACCCTTAGTTTGCACACTTTTGCGCACGAGCAAATTTAAAGCAAATTCATTTTTTTCGTCCAGTGAATTCTACTTGCAAAGAATGCACCCTTGGAACATCCTCCTCCTCTGCTTGGTAACAAAGATTCTCAGTACAGATTTCATTAACATCATAGGAGGGTACCCATAAACAATTTACATTAATTTTATGAACATCCCTGGAATTTAGTTCAGGTGGCAAAATGCAATTTTCGCGTTTCATTAAAAAAAAATAGCCAGTTAAAAAGTGATATATGATCCTGTCGATGTAAGAATTTCAGTCTCAAACAAGCATCGACAGGTCTGATAAGGGGAACCGGACCCCCCGGGTCCTCCCTCTGGATCTGCCATTGCATAATAACAATGTAAATTCCCTTGAAGTTGGCGGCAAATCTTTGAAATTTCCTAGGATAGAAATTTCTTACAATTGTGTTGTCATTGAAGGATATCGAACTAGGACTAAAAAGTACTATGGAAAGCTTTCCTTCCATTAAGCTGCAATCAGTAGCTGGTTGAGAATAATGCTTGTTCAAGTCAAAAGACTGCATAGTTTTAAGTATGGAACCAAGCTTTCTGCGGTGTGGACAAAGTGACACTGAACTATTTGGTACCAGATTGTGAGTTTTTCATGGTTAAGTTCTAAGAAGAACGTAACACTGTTACTATAATGTACTCTTGGTTTGGTTTCAGAACCAAAATATTGGATCCTTTGTCAGTTGCATAGGTATAGCTGTTAACAAGAGCTCACCAAGAGAGCCCCAGTGCTGTAAACTACACTTGAGTCAGCTATTCTTTTCATGAAGCATACAGAATCCAGCTAGTATTAACTAATGGATTCTTTGTGTTAGGCTGGGTCTTTTCCTTTTCTTAATTGCTCACTCTTTTTTTATTAATGGGTGTATGATGTTTCATTTCAGTGTGAAATGCCTGGGGAAAAATTTTGAGGATCTTAAGAATTAATGGGCAGAATGAAGTGCAAGACTGGGCCCTGTAACAAAGATTGTCATGGGAATTTTCTGGTCAACTTTACATTGATTTTGGCACTTTTTAACTGGCCTATTTGATGCATGGCCACTTTGTTGTATATGATACTTATAATGATATTAGTGAAAAGTAATATTAAGAAATTATTACTTATTATTATAATTATTAAAGAGTTTTCTCTGTCATCTACTAGTCCAGAAACAGAGATCATGATTAACTTGAAGATGCCAGTTGAAATAAAGTAAATAACATTAATGTTACACTGTATCTCAAGTGTCTGAGAGTTTTTTATGTAAACTATATTTTAACTCTCCAATAACATTGCTAAGTCAATACATTCAAATTATCTGAATAAAGTACAACCATTGGGCTGGTGACCTTTCTTTCAAAAGTTCCTTAAATACTAGTCAGGAAACTACAGAAATAGTGCAGCTTTTATTAGTAACAATCATTCAGCACTTAACAAGCAAATTGCAATAAATTAAATTTTTACACAACAGTATAAATGTTCAACAAGCTAAAAAAGAATTTTATACCTAAAACAAGGGTACAGACCTTACAGATACGATAAAATATAGACAGACAAATTTTAACTTACATAACATAATTAACAAACGTTTGCAATGCTTATGATCAAACTTCCTTTTACATATTGTGAACTTTTACTTAAGGGTCCTTAAGGAGTCAGGAAAATGCTTACTAAAGTAAAAAGTGTTCACTACAGGTATTTTGTGGTTGCAGTTACAAAACAACTTGGAATTCACCTTCTGAGCGTCAGATATCGCGTGTAGTTTCACGTGACTCTTGATGACCTTCGTTGTAAACAAACCCACAAAGTTCGGACATCTGTTCTCTCTCACATACTGTAAATGTACGAACTACGAGTCACTACTTCAAGTTAGCGTTAACTTATATATTTTCCTTCCCTTTCGCTGTTTGAAAAACGAATAGTTTAAGGTTCAAAATGTCAAAGAGGAAGATCTGGAGTGACTTTAACCGCCTCGAGTGTGGTATTAAAACAGAAAAAATATTTGCCGGTACATGGAGTTTCAACAAGAGCTAACAAGCACGTACAAATCTCCTCTTCAGTTGAAAGAATGGTTTTGCAAGGTGGATCTACACTTGAAGAAAATGAAACTAATGATGCAGACACATTTATAATTCACTATACGGCAGTGTGCTTACATTTTCGTCTCAACCGCCTTTTATACACTTAAATATAAGCAAGCTTATGTTTATCTTGGCTGAAGTATAGTACACTGCCTCCTTTTGTCTCTACTCAATTAAATAAGAATCCAGTGTACGTTCACAAAAGACTGCATTTTTTTGCTAGAGACATCTTGATTCAACCTCAGTAAGTTAATGCCATCAACATAACCATCATCAAAAGTGTCGAGTCCCTGTTTGCCATAATATACAAATTGAAAAGGAAAATTTCAAACAACAAAGGGTAGCGAAAAACTGGATTGGAAATTAATAGCGTGTGATCACGTGTGATCATGAGTTTTGAAATGTGAATTATGTATGTATCATGAAATTCGCCTACATCACCGGTTTTATCTCTTTCGAGGTGTAGTTCCAATGTTAAAACCATTTCAGCTGCTGAGACGGGAATTTCCACTGCAAGCACTCCTCATTCCTGCCGTAACTTCTGCCATGATCTTGGCCTAAAAATCGCTCTTATTCTTCTGCTCAGACATTTTTTAACTTTAAACTTTTCGACTCTCAAACAGCGAAAGGGAAATAACATTTTATAAACTAACGCAAACTTGAAATAGCACGTGTAGTTCGTACAAGTACAGTATGTGGCAGAAAACGAATGTCCAAACTTTGCGGGTTTGTTTACAACAAAGTTAATCAAAAGTCACATGAAACTACACGTGAAATCTGACGCTCAGAGGGTGAATTCACATAACACACCAAATTATGAAAAGACATTTGATGCATCGAATCAAAGACCATATCATTTTCAAACTGTCAAATTGTTGTTCCTTGTGAAGCAAAAAAAAAAAGAGGGTGAAGGCCTTGCGGAGAAAGACTTACAACATTGTTGCAATTTACCTTGTGTGTTGATGAATGTCAGCGAGAATGGAACACTACGCTTAAATGAGCTAATTTCAATCAATTTGGTTGGTGTCAGAGCCATTGCTTTAACAAAAAAAAACATGACAAAATAAACTTAGCCTGGTTGCTTTTGCAACTGTCTGAGAGAGTGGTTTTAATTCATCTTGCCAATCAACACCAGGACAGAAATTAAGCTTTGTTTTTCTTGTATGTCAAAAGGTGCAAACACAATAAGCTCAAGGAAGAAAGTTTGTACACAGGAAACCAACCAAACTGTTTGAGGCATCGTGATATCACGCATGACATGCAATCTCATACTTTACTTTAGTTTGTGTACAGCTGCTCTCTCACCTTGTGTTTGTGTTGTGTGTTTTAAAGTCTGTTTGATTCTAGGGCCATTTGGAAGACTTTTTATCAGGTTGTTAATGAAGGCCAAGTAAAAAATAAAAATAAATGTTTCTTTTCCAGATTTCTTTAAAAAAGAGAGCAGCGGGCACTTTTTAACTTTATTATTACCAATTCTCGGTATTCTTTCTTTACAAATTATAACCCTCTCCCAGGGATAACTTGGAGTCTGTCACCGTCAAGATATTGATATTAGGGTAACGGTGTTGAAAGTAATAACTTTTGTTACGTCCAACTTTTCCAATAACAAATAATAGAAAAGCCGCTGGGAGGCAGCCCCCCCAAAATAAAGCGGGTGGGGACGAGAACCTTTTTTTCTAACTTGGCCTATTATAAACTCAAAATCTACATATTGTAAAACTTAATATTATGGCTCTAGAGGTGAACTGAAAGTAAAACACACAACACAAACACAAGGTGAGTCATTTTCTATCTATTTCTTTCTTTCTTTCTTGCTATCTTTTTTATTTTTCAACAAATGGAATTTAAAATGTATTTTGCTTATTTTCATACATTCTTAAACTGAATAAAATTCAAAGTTCAGCGATCCGGGCTGCCTTTGTTATCTCAAGAATGAAGCCTAAAACTTGCACATACCTGCCGAAAAATTGAAGAACAGGAAGTCCTTTACTCATGAATGCATTGCAAATGAGTCAATCTGATCTTTTGTAGCGTATACATCCTACTCTGATTGCTTTTATACGGTGAAGACTCGTTGGGGGTCCGCCATCTTGTTTGTTATGATGGTTCACATCCGGTTAAGATGCATCATGGGATGTTATATTTAGCTGCATTCTTTCCCACCACCAGACAAAACTCTATAAATGGGTCAAAAAAAAAAATGCGCATGTCAGAACTCTTGCTCTCAAGGTGTGAAGTTCCGCGTGCAGAGTCTCATCAATTGAGTCCGTCTTGACTGAAAGGGCTTCGAATGCATCTTTGGCGAGATTAACGTACTGATCAAACATGTTTTGATCCAGCTCTGTACTGGTAGAATGACAAAGTGAATTTCTGAGGCGTCTCAGCTGGTCGATAGAGAGCGCGAATGTTTCATAGGGGTCTCCGTTTGTGCTGATGACAGAGCCATGGAACTGTCCATGAGGGACTCCACGAGGCCTCACATACAGCTCATCGAGTGTTTTTAGGTTACCCGTACCGTCTGGTGAACGGAAGGACTTTGCATAGAGTGTGGCTTGAAACAGCGCTGTACAATCCCACTCTTCATATGACTTTTGTGTAGGAATGCCCTTGTTACCGAATTCATTTCTGTGTAATAATTTTCTCACAGCATCGGAGTCGTCCCACTGATTCCGTCTAAATTTTTGTCCCACATCACCTTAAAAGTTTGACGTAAGGCTTTGGGAAATTCGTCCACGACAATGATGCTAAACTTTAAGTAGTTCAACCGCTCCTTTGACTCAAGTCGAACCATGTTTTCGATTTGGCAGATTTGTGAACTTGAACACCTCAGTTAAATCTAAAAATGGATTGAAAAGACATTTATTTAAAATAGCGTTCTTCTCACTTTGACTTTGGTCGTACCAATTTTAAGAACACATTAACACTACTAAAAAGACAAAAATGGCGACTTCAAACATTCGAATACCTACAACTTAGGTATAGATAGTTTTAAGTCTCTGAAGAAACAAACGAAATAAATCATACCAAGTCACTTTTGCGAGGCGGTTGATTCATACTGACGGCCAAATTTTGATATAGTGGCAAAATTCTCGTGGATTTGATCCCCAAAACGAGAGTTTTTAAGGCTTACTGACAAAGGAATTGCGAGGCGTCGTTCTTCAAACGAAGGAAGAACTGCGAGAACGATTCGAAACTGAAACGGGAAAAACCCCACATTCCTAGAAGTAAAGAACGATTCGAAACTGAAACGGGAAAAACCCCACATTCCTAGAAGTAAAGATTATCAGCCCGTGATCTTGGCTTGTAACGCCGGTTGGTCACGCCGTTGTCATGCTTTGTACGTAGGACCGGGGGGTACTTTAGGAATTTCTGGGTGGGGATGTGCCGCTGGGACCCTGGAAATAGTTGTTTTTCCTCCCACATAGGTCACAGAGGTCAGCACTCGTCGCTACACTCGTTAACATCCTCGAAAGGCCTTCTTATCTTCGGTTAGATTTCATAAACGTATGACGTCACGCTCGCCCCGAAGGTATGTGATTTATCTGCACTTCGATCGTCTATACCGGAATTTACTTGCCAACATTTAATCGAGCCTAAACTCAAAATGGCATAGCGCTCGTGCATTAAAGAAGTTTTATTGAATATTTAAGAGACGCCGAAACGCTTTTGTGTCCGTCCTAAAAGCAGAGTCGTCGAAAGCAACCACTGAGAGAAACCTTGTTTTTATTCCACTGTTATTTAATGGCAGAGTTATAACCGTAAACTGAAATCATCGATTAAGTCTCGTTTCGTTACGTTGAAATTCACTGAGAACAGTCGAACTCTGAATATCTGGACTATTCGGGTCTGGAATAAAATTGATGAGATAATAAAAAATGTGAATTGTAATACTTAGATGTCTGACTTGGACGGAAATAAAACTGAAGAAATTTAAGCATGAGCAAAATGTTGTCTTCTTCAATGTATAGTGTCTACTTCATCACTTTTAGGCTACCATGTTCACACTATAGCCAGGTTTCGTACAGAGTCTTGAATTCTTAAAAAAGTCTTGAAATTTGTCCAATTATTTTCCGGACCTGGAAAAAGTCTTGCACTAGAGATAAAGTCTTGAAAAAATGAAAAAATGTCTTGAGTTTTTTTGAAAAGGTAATAAGTGTTTTATAAGTGAATTTTTTTGTCGTTTTTGTCAAATCTTATTCAACCTCGCCTGTATGTTAACAGCGCACCATGAAAAATGCTTTGTTCCTGCTTTGTTAAGGTCTCTATTGATCAGCTATTTGATAATCTTGAGTCTGGAAAAAGAAACTATTGTTTTGAAAAGGGTCTGGAAATAGTCTTGAATTTTGGATCCAAAAAATCTGTGCGAACCCTTTATAAATGATGGCTTTTGCACGAAAAATCATGCCAGATAGGGTTCAGTTCACACACAAGAACGGAGTGAAGCAGCGCCGCGTCGATCTCCATAGTGGAGAATCACCAGCCTAGTCCAGAGGCGTTCTCGGCTCGGTCAATCCTGGACTCTACCGTAAACTGTGACGTCACCCAGAGAGGTTGGCTAGAGAGTCACATATCGGATAGTTCACACTACATGTATATCAGATAGCTTTTCGTCTCGGCACGAAAGCTATCTGCTATAGTGTGAACACAGCCTTGGCGTTTTGCTGGCGCCTCTTATTTTGAAGAGGAGAGTCAGTCTGTTCCCACTGCCGGATCCAGAGCTTGAGATAAGGGTTGGGGGCCGCCAGTCATCCAGACCCTTAGATTAAAAGGCGGGGGGCGGGGGGGCGGTCTCCCAAAAAATTTTTTTCGGCCCTTCGGCGGGTCTCAGTTTGGTCTAAAAATAAGAGTGGGCCCGGGCCCCTCCCCTGGATCCGCCACTGGTTTCATAGATCCTTACGACATTTTCAGACCCCTTCCCTCTCAGAGCGAATGACTGAGTCTTGTACGAGGTGTGAAAGAAATCCTTTATTTGAGTGTGAATGTATTTAACACGGGAGTCTGGAGACGCGACCGCCATTTTACGAGGTCATTCGAGCCAAAAATAAAACCTCTACAGCTGTACGTTCACTTGGTAGTTCTTACGTTTAGTCTGTAGATGAAATCCTTTGGTGTGATGACCATTCCGATGAAACCTCCTTGGCACTCCTTTGACATGGTGTTATTTGTTTTTCAACGTTTTTTACAAAGTGAAATTTGAGTAGTTTTCTTGCTGTTGAAGACGCCGGTGCAAAAAATTTAAAAGACACCGAACAATACGTTAAGTCGTAGACGATGACACAAAAGCCGGGGAAACAGTTGTTTACTCACCACGTCCCTTCGCAGGTAATTCTCAAAGACCTGTATAATAGCCTATACAGCGAAACCAGAAACTGTCTTTCTGGCGAAACTCAGTGAAGTGCTTGAGTCTGAGGAACCGTTCCTTGACCATTTCTTTCCAGGAGCCCACGTGAGAGCGGCGGAAATGAGCCTACAGGTAATTTTGTCATTTGAAAGGGTCTTTAATAACCCAAATCAATCTTGTTTTCTTATTATTTGTTAAATGCTACAAAAGGATATTATGAGTAGGTATTTGAAAGGGTGCATAAAAGTGGTATCTCCAGATCTCTCTCTTTCCCTTCTGTCGTCGATGATGGCAATCAAATTGACCCTGGGGACGAGGCACCCCCTAATCCCGGGCCCGCGATACTGACCAGCGTCACCTAAAAATGGCGGACGCCGAAGCTTTCCAAGACCGTGAAAATCTTATCAATCTTTTTGCTTGTTATGGTAAGGTGTACGCCTGGGATGTAGATGATGTAATCAAGATGCGTTCACAGTATCGCATAGTCGGCTCTCTGATAGGATCACTACCTCGCAAACCGAGACAAAACAATGCTTTCTCTTTGCCGCTTCTTCTTTCTCGAGAGGAAACCACGTTGCTGCTAGACAAAGGTTTCGCCAGAATCTTTTACATGCCAAGAAACCTACCGAAACCATCAGATGGATTAGTTGGGAAGTTTAATGAGCTACGCAACGAAAGTGTCATCAAGCAAAATGAGCAGTTTAAAAAGATGCAAGAAGAAAAGAGAAAGGAACTAGCTGATGTGATAGCTGATGGCAAGAAAAGAAAACGAGAAAAGCTTGCTAGTAGCACGGCGAAGAAATCGCAAGATCAGAGAAATGAAATTCAGTTCAATTTTACTTGTAATGAAAGCAATGTGTTTGAACGAAATGTTGAAGGAAAAGAGAAAAGCAAGCGAAAGAGCGGAGAGGTTACAGTTGATCAAGAAGATACCAATCTTGCAAAAAAGCTAAAAAGCGAGGAATTGAACAATGAGAGTTTTGAAGCCAAGGAAACTAGTGAGAAGAAAGACTTAAATCAGTCAAATGATTATTGTAAAATAATCAGTAATGAAAATGTAAAAGAAAGCTATGAGGGGTCATGTAGCAATTCTATCACAAAAGAAGCTAATGAAACAATCCTGACCAATGCAAATGCTGATCAAGGGATTCATGGAAATGAACTTGCAAATGAGACTGGACTACAAACTACAAATGATTCAGATACTAGTACCAAAGGACTAAACAGTGTTTCTGACATGGGAATATTGATACATATTCCTTCCGTTATGCCGCAAAAGCTGCCTTCATTTCCACTTGCAGACTGGACATATCCTCAAACAAGTCACGAAAAGCTACATTACCAGGTGTTTGTAGACCTCTGGGAGAAGGGATATTATTTAACATCTGGCGTTAATTTTGGAGGAGATTTCCTCGCATATCCAGGTGATCCTATTAGGTATCACTCCTTTTTCATTGTAATTATTGTTCCCTGGGGGAAGAAAATTACACCATTTGAGATCATATCAGCTGGCAGACTGGGTGCTAGTGTAAAGAAAACTGCACTTCTTTGCTCGGTAAGTGATGAAACTGGCCAAGTTATATACACATCAGTCAAGTGGAGTGGAATAAGCTGAATTTTAACACCTTCATTCACGGGAAATCATTAATCAGAACACTTCATGGAAAATCCCAGAAGTCTATCATCATTAGTCTTTTCTTAGCCCAGTGGCACATAGGACTATTGTCTCCTATAGTATCATTCAAAAGTACTTCAAGAGGTGTCATTTAATTTACAATGCCATAAAATGTTATTCAGAAAAGACTCAAAAGTTAGAACCTATTTATACATGAATTTTATTATTAGCAATTTTGTATGATTGGAAATATGCACATGTGCACATTTTCTGTTATAATAAAGGCTACGAGTCCTCAACTTCTACATTCACAAGATTTAGATCAACTTTCGCTGCTTAGAAGGAGTGAAAATGATCAGTAATGTTTAGTTTATTGGCTCAGTTATGCTGCAATCAGAATGATATGCCTGACTACAGGTCGAGTGCGGTTCTATAATGAAAGGCAATCATGACAGGGGCAGATCCAGGAATTTTTTATTAGGGGGATCCAAACTTTGGTTCAGAAAGGACTGTTGAACTTTATTATGGCAAATTGCTCCTCCCCCACACCCCCTCCCACCAGTCGCAGTTGCATGCGTGTTATAATTCCTTGGCCCCTTACCGTGTACTTGAATCACTGGATGAAAAAATGGATTTCCCTTTAAATTTGCTTATGTGCAAAATAGTGCAAAGTAAGAGAAAAATATGTGCAAAAGTGGTAAATGCCAAGTTTGCACACACATTTGCACCCCTGTGTAAATGGTTTAGCACATTCGGCATTTACCACCTTTATGCAGACTGATTTTACCCTTAGTTCGCACACTTTTGCACACGAGCAAATTTAAAGCAAATTCATTTTTTTCGTCCAGTGAATTCTACTTGCAAAGAATGCACCCTTGGAACATCCTCCTCCTCTGCTTGGTAACAAAGATTCTCAGTACAGATTTCATTAACATCATAGGAGGGTACCCATAAACAATTTACATTAATTTTATGAACATCCCTGGAATTTAGTTCAGGTGGCAAAATGTAATGCACGTTTCATTAAAAAAAATAGCCAGTTAAAAAGTGATATACGATCCTGTCGATGTAAGAATTTCAGTCTCAAACAAGCGTCAGGTCTGATAAGGCGAACCCGACCCCCAGTGCCCCCCCACTGGATCTGCCACTGCAAAATAACAATCTAAATTCTCTTGAAGTTGGCGGCAAATCTTTGAAAAGCTTTGAAGAGTGAAATTTCCTAGGATAGGAATTTCTCACGATTGTGTTGTCATTGAAGGATATCGAACTAGGACTAAAAAGTACTATGGAAAGCTTTCCTTCCATTAAGCTGCAGTTGGTAGCTGGTTGATAATATGCTTGTTCGAGTCAAAAGACTGCATAGTTTTAAGTATGGAACCAAGCTTTCTGCGGTGTGGACAAAGTGACACTGAACTATTTGGTACCAGATCGTGAGTTTTTCATGGTTAAGTTCTAAGAAGAACGTAACACTGTTACTAATGTACTCTTGGTTTGGTTTCAGAACCAAAATATTGGATCCTTTGTCAGTTGCATACTAGGTATAGCTGTTAACAAGAGCTCACCAAGAGAGTCCCAGTGCTGTAAACTACACTTGAGTCAGCTATTCTTTTCATGAAGCATACAGAATCCAGCTAGTATTAACTAATGGATTCTTTGTTTTAGGCTGGGTCTTTCCTTTTCTTGCTCACTCTTTTTTTATTAATGGGTGTATGATGTTTCATTTCAGTGGGAAATGCCTGGGGAAAAATTTTGAGGATCTTAAGAATTAATGGGCAGAATGAAGTGCAAGACTGGGCCCTGTAACAAAGATTGTCATGGGAATTTTCTGGTCAACTTTACATTGATTTTGGCACTTCTTAACTGGCCTATTTGATGCATGGCCACTTTGTTGTATATGATACTTATAATGATATTAGTGAAAAGTAATATTAATAAATTATTACTTATTATTATAATTACTAAAGAGTTTTCTCTGTCATCTACTAGTCCAGAAACAGAGATGATTAACTTAAAGATGCCGGTTGAAATAAAGTAAATAACATTAATGTTACACTGTATCTCAAGTGTCTGATAGTTTTTTATGTAAACTATATTTTAATTCTCCAATAACATTGCTAAGTCAATACATTCAAATTATCTGAATAAAGTACAACCATTGGGCTGGCGACCTTTCTTTCAAAAGTTCCTTAACTACTAGTCAGGAAACTACAGAAATAGTGCAGCTTTTAAAATAGTAACAATCATTCAGCACTTAACAAGCAAATTGCAATAAATTAAATTTTTACACAACAGTATAAATGTTCAACAAGCTAAAAAAGAATTTTATACCTAAAACAAGGGTACAGACCTTACAGATACGATAAAATATTGACAGACAAATTTTAACTTACATAATTAACAAACGTTTGCAATGCTTATGATCAAACTTCCTTTTACATATTGTGAACTTTTTCTTAAGGATCCTTAAGGAGTCAGGAAAATGCTTACTAAAGTAAAAAGTGTTCACTACAGGTATTTTGTGGTTGCAGTTACAAAACAACTTGGAATTCACCTTCTGAGCGTCAGATTTCGTGTGTAGTTTCACGTGGCTCTTGATGATCGTTGTAAACAAACCCACAAAGTTCGGACATCTGTTCTCTCTCACATACTGTAAATGTACGAACTACGAGTCACTACTTCAAGTTAGGGTTAATTTATATATTTTCCTTCCCTTTCGCTGTTTGAAAATCGAATAGTGTAAGGTTCAAAATGTCAAAGAGGATTAGATCTGGAGTGACTTTAACCGCCTCGGGTGTGGTATTAAAACAGAAAAAATATTTGCCGGTACATGGAGTTTCAACAAGCACGTACAAATCTCCTCTTCAGTTGAAAGAATGGTTTTGCAAGGTGGATCTACACTTGAAGAAAATGAAACTAATGATGCAGACACATTTTATAATTCATTATACAGCAGTGTGCTTACATTTTCGTCTCAACCGCCTTTTATACGCTTAAATATAAGCAAGCTTATGCTTATGGCTGAAGTATAGTACACTGCCTCCTTTTGTCTCTACACAATTAAATACGAATCCAGTGTATGTTCACAAAAGCCTGCATTTTTTTGCTAGAGACATCTTGATTCAACCTCAGTAAGTTAATGCCATCAACATAACCATCATCAAAAGTGTCGAGTCCCTGTTTGCCATAATATACAAATTGAAAAGGAAAATTTCAAACAACAAAGGGTAGCGAAAAATTGGATTGGAAATTAATAGCGTGTGATCACGTCTGATCATGAGTTTTGAAATGTGAATTATGTATGTATCATGAAATTTGCCTACATCACCGCTTTTATCTCTTTCGAGGTGTAGTTCCAATGTTTAAACCATTTCAGCTGCTGAGACGGGAATTTCCACTGCAAGCACTCCTCATTCCTGCCGTAACTTCTGCCATGATCTTGGCCTAAAAATCGCTCTTATTCTTCTGCTCAGACATTTTTTAACTTTAAACTTTTCGAGTCTCAAACAGCGAAAGGGAAATAACATTTTATAAACTAGCGCAAACTTGAAATAGCAGCGCGTGTAGTTTGTACAAGTACAGTATGTGGCAGAAAACGAATGTCCGAACTTTGCGGGTTTGTTTACAACAAAGTTAATCAAAAGTCACATGAAACTACACGTGAAATCTGACGCTCAGAGGGTGAATTCACATAACACACCAAATTATGAAAAGACATTCGATGCACCGAATCAAAGACCATATCATTTTCAAACTGTCAAATTGTTGTTCCTTTTGTGAAGCAAAACAAAAAAGAGGGTGAAGGCCTTGCGGAGAAAGACTTACAACATTGTTGAAATTTACCTTGTGTGTTGATGAATGTCAGCGAGAATGGAACACTACGCTAATGAGCTAATTTCAATCAATTTGGTTGGTGTCAGAGCCATTGCTTTAACAAAAAAAAACATGACAAAATAAACTTAGCCTGGTTGCTTTTGCAACTGTCTGAGAGAGTGGTTTTAATTCATCTTGCCAATCAACACCAGGACAGAAATTAAGTTTTGTTTTTCTTGTATGTCAAAAGGTGCAAACACAATAAGCTCAAGGCAGAAAGTTTGTACACAGGAAACCAACCAAACTGTTTGAGGCATCGTGATGTCACGCATGACATGCAATCTCATACTTTACTTTAGTTTGTGTACAGCTGCTCTCTCACCTTGTGTTTGTGTTGTGTGTTTTACAGTCTGTTTGATTCTAGGGCCATTTGGAAGACTTTTTATCAGGTTGTTAATGAAGGCCAAGTAAAAAATAAAAATAAATGTTTCTTTTCCAGATTTCTTTAAAAAAGAGAGCAGCGGGCACTTTTTAACTTTATTATTACCAATTCTCGGTATTCTTTCTTTACAAATTATAACCCTCTCCCAGGGATAACTTGGAGTCTGTCACCGTCAAGATATTGATATTAGGGTAACGGTGTTGAAAGTAATAACTTTTGTTCGTCCAACTTTTCCAATAACAAATAATAGAAAAGCCGCTGGGAGGCAGCCCCCAAAATAAAGCGGGTGGGGACGAGAACCTTTTTTCTAACTTGGCCTATTATAAACTCAAAATCTACATATTGTAAAACTTAATATTATGGCTCTAGAGGTGAACTGAAAGTAAAACACACAACACAAACACAAGGTGAGTCATTTTCTATCTATTTCTTTCTTTCTTTCTTGCTATCTTTTTTTATTTTTCAACAAATGGAATTTAAAATGTATTTTGCTTATTTTCATACATTCTTAAACTGAATAAAATTCAAAGTTCAGCGATCCGGGCTGCCTTTGTTATCTCAAGAATGAAGCCTAAAACTTGCACATACCTGCCGAAAAATTGAAGAACAGGAAGTCCTTTACTCATGAATGCATTGCAAATGAGTCAATCTGATCTTTTGTAGCGTATACATCCTACTCTGATTGCTTTTATACGGTGAAGACTCGTTGGGGGTCCGCCATCTTGTTTGTTATGATGGTTCACATCCGGTTAAGATGCATCATGGGATGTTATATTTAGCTGCATTCTTTCCTACCACCAGACAAAACTCTATAAATGGGTCAAAAAAAAAAATGCGCATGTCAGAACTCTTGCTCTCAAGGTGTGAAGTTCCGCGTGCAGAGTCTCATCAATTGAGTCCGTCTTGACTGAAAGGGCTTCGAATGCATCTTTGGCGAGATTAACGTACTGATCAAACATGTTTTGATCCAGCTCTGTACTGGTAGAATGACAAAGTGAATTTCTGAGGCGTCTCAGCTGGTCGATAGAGAGCGCGAATGTTTCATAGGGGTCTCCGTTTGTGCTGATGACAGAGCCATGGAACTGTCCATGAGGGACTCCACGAGGCCTCACATACAGCTCATCGAGTGTTTTTAGGTTACCCGTACCGTCTGGTGAACGGAAGGACTTTGCATAGAGTGTGGCTTGAAACAGCGCTGTACAATCCCACTCTTCATATGACTTTTGTGTAGGAATGCCCTTGTTACCGAATTCATTTCTGTGTAATAATTTTCTCACAGCATCGGAGTCGTCCCACTGATTCCGTCTAAATTTTTTGTCCCACATCACCTTAAAAGTTTGACGTAAGGCTTTGGGAAATTCGTCCACGACAATGATGCTAAACTTTAAGTAGTTCAACCGCTCCTTTGACTCAAGTCGAACCATGTTTTCGATTTGGCAGATTTGTGAACTTGAACACCTCAGTTAAATCTAAAAATGGATTGAAAAGACATTTATTTAAAATAGCGTTCTTCTCACTTTGACTTTGGTCGTACCAATTTTAAGAACACATTAACACTAACAAAGACAAAAATGGCGACTTCAAACATTCGAATACCTACAACTTAGGTATAGATAGTTTTAAGTCTCTGAAGAAACAAACGAAATAAATCATACCAAGTCACTTTTGCGAGGCGGTTGATTCATACTGACGGCCAAATTTTGATATAGTGGCGAAATTCTCGTGGATTTGATCCCCAAAACGAGAGTTTTTAAGGCTTACTGACAAAGGAATTGCGAGGCGTCGTTCTTCAAACGAAGGAAGAACTGCGAGAACGATTCGAAACTGAAACGGGAAAAACCCCACATTCCTAGAAGTAAAGAACGATTCGAAACTGAAACGGGAAAAACCCCACATTCCTAGAAGTAAAGATTATCAGCCCGTGATCTTGGCTTGTAACGCCGGTTGGTCACGCCGTTGTCATGCTTTGTACGTAGGACCGGGGGGGTACTTTAGGAATTTCTGGGTGGGGATGTGCCGCTGGGACCCTGGAAATAGTTGTTTTTCCTCCCACATAGGTCACAGAGGTCAGCACTCGTCGCTACACTCGTTAACATCCTCGAAAGGCCTTCTTATCTTCGGTTAGATTTCATAAACGTATGACGTCACGCTCGCCCCGAAGGTATGTGATTTATCTGCACTTCGATCGTCTATACCGGACTTGTTTGATTTTTGGTGAGAGATTTTGTCCCACTTTTTCGATCATTCCTCGATTGATTCCAATCAATTCAAACAAGAAGATGCCACTGCCTCCGTTTACAGGATGTTTTGATGTTTCAAGCCTCTTCTTACTCCACGGGGAAAAGGACCTTTCAGTGGATGTTACTGAATAACATCCTTTGAATGGCCCCAGATCACCAGGCTGTGTATCTAGGTGAGAATTATACATTATCACTTTCCTTACTGAATACATGTACAGTGTAAAAATCGCCATACTCATATTTCACACTTCAGGAGAAGGATCAATATTGTTATTTATTATCCCGCTATTATGTCATTTTACCATATAATGTCAAGAGAATGCGCAAAATATGAGGCGGTAATAATAATATTATTTAATAATATTTCTGTCTGATTTGGTTAAAATGTCTGGTCACTAGGTTTTCGCCTGGCACTGGGCACAGCCCGGCACCAGGGGCCAGTCCTTTGTCCAAAAAGGTAGGGGGCTTGCCTTCTTGGTCAGTTTAGGGGCCGACCATTTAACTCTTGAGGGGGGGGGGGGGGGGGGTGATTTTGAAAAAAAATTTCCTGCAAGCGCTTGTCGGAAGAAAAAAATTGCATGCAGCACAAATGTAATAGAAAAAAATTCTTGCGCTGCTGTAAGAAAGAAAAAAAAATGTTGCAAAGCTATTTCATCATTCCGGGGGTCTTTAAAAAATCGCAGCAAAACTGCAACCATTTTTTTCCCTTGCTGACTGTGAACTCTGGATTTGATGATGCTGCAAAATTATTGCGTCATATGTGCAATGCATTATTAGCTTATCACAAGCAGTATTATAAATGGAGGTATTTTTTTTTATTAAAGAATCAAGTTTTAATAGACAAAGGAAGTTTTTTGTTTCATTTTTAACAGAAACATTTTTATGTAATTATTTTCTATTTAGATAAATATAATATATTTTTTTAAGTTTTAGTAATGCACCTATCGATGTCTAGCCCCAATTGGGGGAGTGCAGGTATACCCAGGGGCTATTGACAATTGATTTCAAATATTTTTGGTCAATAAATTTCAAATTCCACACTGTAAAGAATTTTATTGGCTGAATCCTTCTGTGTAACAAGGCTTGATGTTCTAAAGGCGGTAAAGCTCAAAAACTAGTCGGTTCTCTCAATAAACACTATCCGTACTCAAGACTACAATCAAAGTTTGCCATGTAACACTACGCCCGGTCACGTAGATCAGATAACATCTAAATTCTAAATTAGTCAAAACAACAAATCTCTGTGCGGTTTCAAGTGTTCATTTTCCTAGGCTATTTCCGCTATTTCTATTGTTCTATTAGTTTCAGTTCAGTGTTCATTGTTCATAGGCTCGATTTCTTGACACTCCCCCCTTGACCAACTGCTCACTGTTGGTCAAGAAGTCTCCTGATCTTGTCTGCAGTAGCTGCTGCTGCTCGTCTCGGTGGTCTCACAAGTTCAGCTGGATGGTCAGGCTGCTGGACAATTCCAGCTTCCTCGGTTCCGACGTGTTCGTTTTGAGGCAGGTTTCCGGTGTTCACTTCCAGTGGGACAAGTTTCTGCACTGCTCTCCGCATCGTTGAGGGCTTTCCCTTCTTGCTGATGGCTCGCAACACAGCACCTCGTTTGTGTCCATCTTTGCTCTCGATCAGCTCGGTGATTTCTCCTAATCTCCACTTGCACCTCGCTAGACTGTCGTCGTGGATCAGAACGACGTCTCCAACCTTGACTTCTTTGTTCTGATTTCCTCTGGTTCCGCAATAATGAAATTCTCTCAGTCCAACAAGGTACTCGTTAGACCATCGTTTCCAGAAGTGTTCTAGTAGTCTGCTGAGGTAACGCGCTCTCCTTTCAAGGCTGGAGGCGGTTTCTTCATTATCGCTTAGCTCGGCGGGGTTTGGTAGTGTGGCAAGTCGTCTTCCAATGACCAGGTGCGATGGTGTAAGGGGTTCTTGATCTGTGATGTCTGAGTAGACATATGTGAGGGGACGTGAGTTTAGTACTCCCTCCACTTCTGTTAAGACTGTAAGTAGCTCTTCAAAGGACAGCTGCGCCTTTCCGAGAACTTTGCGAAGGCTTCTTTTTACTAGTTGTACCATACGCTCATAGTAACCTCCCCACCATGGCGCTTTTTCTAGAATAAACTTCCAAGTGATCCCTTGGTTGGCGGCAAAATCTTGCGTTCTCTTGTTCTGAAGTAGTTGTCCTAGCTCCTTGTTGGCTCGCTTGAAGGTCTTCGCGTTGTCGCTTGTTATGGAGGCTGGTCTCCCACGTCTGGCTATGAACCTCCGCAAGCATCTGACGAACGCTTCCGTTGAGAGGTCTGGTGTCAGTTCTAGGTGTAAGGCTCTCGAGGTTGCACAGGTGAATAGGCAGATGTACGCTTTCTTCATCTGTTTAGTAATGCCGCTGGTGCTTTTCACGTACACAGGGCCGGCGAAATCCACTCCCACATGGGTGAAGGCCGGGCTTCCGGAGACTCTTGATTCAGGTAGATCAGCGGTCGGTGGTGGTCTGTACGGCACTCCCTCTCTTTTCTTACAAATAACGCATTGATGCAGGATCCTCTTTACGTACTGTCTCCCCTTTGGAATCCAGAAGTTTGTCCTTACTTCGACTAAAGTTTCCTTCACTCCTCCGTGATTGGTCTTCCGGTGGCAGGCTTCCACAATCAGTCTTGTCACGTGATGCCGCCTCGGTAATAGTGAGGGGTAACGGGTTTCGACACTCAACGGGGCGTTTCAAGTCTGCCTTTGCACTTCAGAATGGTATCTTCATGTCTGAACAGCCCAAGCTGCTGTTTAAGGTTCTCGAAGTTCCTCTCTCTTTCAAAGGGCTTTTGAACTTCACGGATCCAAAGTACTTTTCGCTTCACTGATTTCTTCAGCTGTAAGGGTGGTCTGTTTACTTTGTGCTTCTCTTCTCTCGGTCTTTGCTGACTTCAGATTTCTGATGAACTTCAGGCTGAGAGCTGTTACTCTGAATAGTTTAGTGGCATCGCTGAAACGTTCGCAGTCGATGATTTCAGCCAGCTTTACAGGATTGCTAGGCTCTGTGGTCAGGTTAACCATGGTAGTCACATTCGAAGGTTTTTGTTCCTTTGCTTTAAATTCCGTCCTGCATTCTTCTGTCAGATCTTCTTCCTTTGAGACTTCAGAGGCCGGGTAGTTCTTCGGTGGGCCCTTTAACCAGGCGGGGCCCTCCCACCACAGGCGGTTATCCACGAGCTCAGATGCGAGACACCCTCTGGAGCCAACGTCAGCAGGTTCAACTCCAGGACAATGACGCCAGCTCTTCGCATCGGTCAACTTGTGGATCTCGTCTATGCGGTTCTGCACAAACTGCTTGTATTCTTTGTTGGACTGTATCCAGTAGAACACTGTAATACTGTCGGTCCAACAAAAGACTTCTTTGGTGTTCAATACCTGGGCTAAGGCTTCTTGTACGGTAGAGATCAAACGGGCCAGGATTAGTGCGGCAAGCAGCTCGAGTCTGGGAATACTCATAGGCGAAGATGGCGTAACTCTGCTCTTGGCTGCTACGAGGCTTGTTTTGTAGCCATCTTCGGTTTCAATGCACAGGTAGACTACTGCACAATACGCTCCCTTTGAAGCATCTCCGAATCCGTGTAGAGTTGCAAACTTAATTCTTCTTTCTTCTTCTGGGAAGTAATAACGATTCACAGTCATTTCGCCAACTTTTTCCAGGTCAGTCAGCCACTTTTGTAGGCGGTTTCTTCCAGGTTGAGGGGTGAGGCTGTCCCATTCACACTTACTTAGACAAAGTTCTTGCAGCAGCATTCTTAACACCACCATCACTGGTGATATCAGTCCTAGAGGATCAAACAGTTTGGCTGCAATTCGGAGAACGTTTCTCTTTGTAGGTTCCAGGTTTCTGGCGAATTCGACGATCTTATTCAGCTTCATAACAATGGTGTCTTCCTCCAGGTTCCAATTTGTTCCGAGGACCTTATGTTCCTTTGTGGGGTCGATTTCTTCTAGGCCGCCAACGGTGATCTTTGCGTAAGATTGTTCTTCGTCTGATGCGGATTCTTGTTTCCCAAGACGTTCTCGTTTCATTCTGTCACTTGAAATCTTCTCAATGACTCCTCTTCTGTTCGACGCCCATTTGCGTAAGTTGAAACGCCCAGCTGCGAAGCAAGAATTAGTCTCCTTGTAAATGGAATACGCTTCTTCATCGTCTTCGCCGCCAGATGTCAAATCATCCACGTACAGGCCTGCTAGAGTGTACTCTGCTAAGGCTGAGTCATGTGCATAGTACTCGGTAACATGGTGCCGTAGTGTCGCGTTGAGCAGGAACGGAGAACAGTTCATACCGAAGATAACTCGGCAGAAGCGATAGATCTCAACATTTGGATCGTCCTTTGTAACGTCGTCAATCCACAGAAATCGCATCAGGTCTCTTTGCTGCTCATCCACTGCGATATTCAGAAAGGCTTTCTCAATGTCGGCGACTAATCCAACTTTATGGGCTCTGAAACGCATCAAGATGTCTGCAATACCAGGGGTCAGCGGTGGACCAGTGTGAGTGCAATCGTTCAGGGAAGGACAGCTTGGTTTCACTTTGGCACTTGCGTCAAACACCACTCTCAATTTAGTCGTTAAGGCGTCGCTTCTGATAACGGCCTGATGGGGCAAATAGTGCGTCTGACCT